GGAAATTTCGGAAGAGGGTTCGTTGAAAAAAGGCACGTGGCGTTAAGCATCCCTTTCAAGCGATCGTGAGGAGGGTCGTGCTGAGTAATTATCACCTGGACCAGTCGTATACAAAAATTACCAATTAACCGTGGTCGAAATGTACTATATTATTACACATGTAATTACTAATGTTTAATAACATTTTGCAATATATCAACCCTTAACGGTGTAGAAATACATTAAGTTTGCTTACTGTTTTACATAAAATATACAAAAAACAACAATAATAATAATAACAACGATGAAAATAATAACATGTTTTTATATATTACAGGATTGATCCGTTAAGGGTTAAAGATTAAATAAAATTTATTATAGTGTACATTATCAAAGCCTTTAATATTCCAAATAATATAAATATCAAAGCTTTCAGTATGCATTTTCCAAGGACTATGTTAGAAATAAATCTAAGTAGTATTAGAAAATTTGTTTTAATTTAAATAAAAATAAAATAATTACATATCGTTACTTTATTTAATAATATATCTTAGATTTTGTTTAAGTATTAATTTTGTAGACCAATGTTATTTCAACCAACAGTAGAAATAATGTTACAATTCGCAATACCTACATTTTTCTTTTCGAATAGATAAATTTCCAGTGCGTAAAGTGCAGGAAATGCGTTCAGTATTTGAAAACAGCTTTGTCCTCAAAGGGTTAATAAATAATTCAACATCCGCTCCTTCGCGTGCAACAACCCCACAGGTTTGTCTATTATTTATTAAATTGCTATTGTTACTAATTATCATGTAGTCTATTAGATTTCATCAGATCCCATATTTTTAGTTAATTTACACAGATATCATATTTCTAGTTATTTTAGATAAATAACTTTTTTCCAGTTATCACAGACACATGAATATTAACTATTTTAACGGTCAAGCGTGTTAATCAATGTCAATATTTTATTAAATAAAGGGAGATCATTTGGAAGAGGAACAGGAAGTCGAATTTGACTCCTAAACCGATTTTAATTTAATGACGGCTGCGTGAAATTAGTTTCGGTCGCGCACGTGCGCGTTTCACACGAGTGGCAGTGATTGCGTGACTCGCTTGGATACACCGTGCACGACAGCCATGTACGTACACAACTGTTCCGAGATATCCATGACTTCGTGTATCAGATATTTTTCTGGTTTCTGCGGTACCAGCTGGACAACTGGTGCACGAATATTCCTTGTCGATTATTTTATTAATACTCTACTTTGTCCATTGAGAATGCTTCCATTAACTTTATGAACTGTAATAGAATTTAATCCCCTGTGCTACGATCTCTTTCATAACTGTGCTTGATAATACTATATTATTGTTGATGGTTTATTAGTAAAAGAAAAGAATTCGATGATTATTCCATGTTTACTCTATAGGTTAAAAATTAATGATGAGTAAGTGATATTTCATTTATACGATAAATAAATAACATTTCGACTTGTTGAATTGGAAATTTTTATCGCGAGTCTTACGCAATATTTTAGGAAATGAGGTTAAATCAAAGTTTGAACACAGAAAATACTTTTGTGAAATTATTTTATATAAATTATGTAACTGCCAGAAAGGATCATTTTTTATTGCAATTCCAGTTTTTTACTTATATTCTTGAAAATTTGAATTTGCATAAGGGATTATCTTTTGTAACCTCAACGAAAATATTCAACGGTAATCCTTGAATTTTGAAATTTGATTCTTTTTTGTGTTCCTTTATCGGGGATTTTGTGAGAATATTATAAACTTCATTAAAATTTTTAATATTTTATCTGGTGGTTACCTATTGTATGCAATAAATTATCTTGTCATAATAATGGAAGAAATTTTATTACTGTATGTGTACGCTAAAGGTTTCAAATTGATAATAGAGAAGTGATATTTAATATATATTCAAAGAAAACAAATAACATTTAGATTAATGCAATTCAGTGTAAAATTTTTATCACGAGTCTGACACGATATTATAGGACAAGGGATTAAACGTGATGTAATTAAATAGACTTTACAGGATTATTAACTTTTATAGAAGAAATACCGCTTCCGATAAATCGTTGCAACTAATTTATTATGTACGCAATAGATATTTGCCAAATATTCGCTTCTTATGCGTCTGTCAGATAATCACCGAAGGTTCTCTATTGAATTTAAATGATATTTTGATAAATCATGGATCATCCCCTCAATGAATAGATACTACTTTCAAACAAGTTTGTTGTTGTAGTAGGTCTTTAACTTTTCTAATTTCGCTATGTAAAAGTAATTCTGCTATAAAAAATTATGGTAAGTAAGTATCTATCATAAATATTTGATTTTATTATTTTATTATTATTGTTATTATTATTATTAACGATTCTAAGTCTGTGTTAACATCGCTTACGGAATTTCAAACACGTTTTCTTTGAGACTTAGTCGTTCAATTTTATACCTATTTGCTTGTTTGACTTAGTCTTTTATATAAATAATGTAAACTTACATCTAATGCTCTGATTAAATTCAAAATAGACGGTACTTACATATTATACGGACCTCCTTTGTTTCATAATTGAAGGTCGCACTGAACAGTCATTGGGGTTTGATCTAGTTTAATATTTATTTAATATTATAACACTTTATTAATCTTTTATTATTATTACTATTACTTATTATTTGAAGAAAAAAAACCACATGTCAATTTTTCTTTAGTTGAATAATTAAATTACTCACTTTAAAATGGGTGTCCCAGTAATACCCGGTTTAACATAAGGGTTAAACCGACAGAACTTTTCCAAAAGCTTTGCAACAATTAGGGCAACACGCGTGCGACACAAGTAATACGTGCAATTTCCACGTAAAATATAGAGTTTAAAGGAAATGGGAACGCCTAAGTTAATATTCGCCTTGTGTTTCGATTCAAGGCTGACGGTCGCAATCGAGCGTAATGTATCGCGTGCGCAAAAGTAAGAAATACATTATTATCCGACGAAAAATACCCTGAGTCGCCAACCTCGCAGCCAACATGTGCGAATAGCTTTCGAGGCATATGCTTGTATTTACCTGACACGTCAATTACACGCCTCGCCACCGAAAAACCAAGCTTACAGGTGGGTTTACTCACGGACAATTACCGAACCGGCCCGACTACGACACATGTCACACCTAATTGTTCAGCGCCACGATGTACAGTGCGCGTGCAGCAGATAGGGCGAGCCAATTCTTTGTTTTTCTCGAATTCTAGAAACTGATTCATTCTTTTCCGACGTGCTCTAGATTCATGAGCGAAAATATTTAACACTTTCGCTATCACTGAAAACAACTAACGTCGAGTAAAAGTGTTCCATGGGGTAAATATCTAGATAACAACGTAACGTAAGAATTATGGTAGCAAATAATTAATAATTGTTTCTTTTTATCTTTGCTACAAAGGAATAAGCGATACGTAAAGCGCTGATGTTTTTCGTGGCAGTCAATGTATTAACCCTTTGAGTGCTGAATACTCCCAGCCGAAACGTTCCATGTGGACGGAATATTCTTTTGCTCATCTGAAGATCGATGAATTATGTTCATTCATACGATTCGGTAAGTTATGTAGTATCTAGGATTTTTAGCTTCGGATATTTTTCATTCGGAAATCTTTCAACGCGCGAATCCACGTTATTTCGTAAAGTTTTACATTTTTAAGTTTAGAAAGTGTTGACACGACATAATAGAAACTATATTAATATCGAAGGAGAATATTTAAAAAAATAATAAAACTGTTAGTTCAAACATATTTTTGACTTTTCGCGTTCTTTCTTGAAACTTCTACAGCAACCCACGTGTTTATAGGGGAAATCCTCCAGTATCGGATACTTAAGATTTTCTAACGATATTTATAATTATACATGTCTTCCAAATTATTTATGTGCGTTAATCTGTATTGGAAACTTTAAACATTACAATGAGACAAATGAGGCAGTCGAAATCAATAGATTAATTAGCAAAAATGTACAATAAACTTGCATTTATAATCTTCACGAAAGAAAAAATGGTCCCTATTGTCAGACGATTTAAAATAGTTGAGATTTTTCATAAATACTGTTATCTAAATATTGAGGAATATTTACCCAAACTTTATCTACTCATTTTTAATGTTTGACAGATTACATCGAATCTTTATCATTACTTTCTAAACAAAACTATAATAATAGTTCCTTCAGTAGCAGATTGGCGGACAGTTTCTTTGTTTTATTGTATTTCTCTTTTTTCCTTTCTGCACTTCTTCAGTATCATTATCAGTAAATCTACAGACATTCATCCTACGATTCCTTCCATTTTTCCGACACAAATTGACCTTCGTTCATTTAGGTCTTGAAAATTAGGGATTTAAAAATAGACTATTAGGGTAGACCTACATGAAAAATATTTACAATAGTGATATTATATGCATGTTATAAAACTTCGTTTGAGATATCGATAAATATCAATAGGAAGATCATATTAACCAACAGACCTGTCATGTATCTTCTAAGTATTAACTTTGATAAGAATTCAAATTTGCATATAATAGCTTGTATGTATCAATCATAGATAATTTTATTTTAATTAATTAGTAAAATCTATATAAAAATTTATAGAATACCTACCTATTGTATGCCAATAAAATCGACTACGCTTTAAATGTATTCTTATCTTTACATCATTTAGGTGGTTCATTTATCAGTTTACAATTTATTATTATTTTTGAAATAAAAAAGAACAAAAAATTAATTTTATCAACCGTACGTGTTTCAATATCATTAAAAAATCTCGCATTGCAGACAATTTTATCAATGATAACCATTAAAGTTTAAAAATGGTTCCAGCAAGACAAATGATGAAAAAGCAGTTTAAGGAAAATCGTTGTGGCGTTTTTTACAATATAATAACAAACCCAATTTTTTGTATTTAATGAATGATTAAAGAGATGTCTCTCACAACGGGCATGCACAAGAAAATGAAACCGTAATGCTTTTTACCTGCACAACGTTCCGTTGAAGTCTCAATGGTAATCCGTAGTAAATATTCGATTTTTTAAATCAATCGTCACAGAAGTAAACCGCAAGTGTTCACACCTGTGTATTCATCAACGACCATCTTCGACTCGATCTTCTTAAACCAGCAGCAGCGGCCATCTTGATCTGTTAAAGAAATGAAACTCTTTAAAACCATAAACATCAATTAACAGTGGAAAAGCAAGAAAAACATTGACTCCAATACAAACATCCGCCTGTTTCATATGTTTGTAAAAACTGTCTATGAAAAGAACTCGAAAAAAGGTTGCCTTCTGAGTTCTGTCCTAAAAATGAACGAAACATAATATACAAAAACATTGTAGGTTAACGAGGATGAGTTCAGAAAGCAGTTACCCTCACAGAAAACCCATAACGCGTCACGCAATGATGTCTTTTGACGAAAAGTTGCCCAAAATTCATAATTTTATAGAATTTTCATAAAAATTGACATGTTTGTGTTTCTGAGGTTGCTAAATTCGAATATTGGAGTACTTACATATTGTACAAACCACCTTTACTACTTAACTCAAGGTATGGATTATTATGTATTTAATATTAAAACACATTATTAATAGCATATTATTATTATTATCATTGCTATTGCTATTATTATTATCAATATTTTATTTTTTTTAAACGAAGGTAGTCCGTATAATACGCAAGTACCTGAATATTTGATCAAAAATACAAAATTCAAAATGATGGATTTAACATCACTGATATAAACGTAATTTTTAAGTAAACTTGTGTAAAAACTGGTCTGTTTTCCAACATTTTACAGAAATGATGTTATAAAACATCGAATTCAATACGATGACGTTAATTTCAAAACGTTTTTATATACTTCGAAAATTGAATTTTGGCCAGTTTCTCGGCGAAAAGCATTATTGTGCTTCATGGCGTTTGGAAAGAACCGTTGTCTTCCAAACGTCATAAAACAGGATAACGGTATATTATCAATACGCAAGTAACGAGTTCACAAAGCCACGGTCAAAACGATATTAACGATAACATAATTGTCTTAACCTCGATTATGGCGGATAAGAGTGCGTGTGAGGGGGAGAGAGAGAGAGAGAGAATCAGAGCGCGAAAGGATTTAACCCCTTGCCCTACGATTTATTTCTCAACTATAATCGATATACATACTTTGTCATTAATAATTTATTGAGAAAAAGAAAAAATTTGGGCACATTCTATGTTCATGTCTCCTCTAAACTATTATAATTAATAATAGAAGATTAATATGTAATTTAAATTCAAGAAAATCGAGTAATATTTATACTTATTTAATTCTGTTTAAAATTTTCACTACTAGTCTAACACGTTATTACAAGGCAAAGGGTTAAGGTATGAAAATGAGAGCAACGAGATTAATTGTGATAGAACCAAAAGTAGCCAGAGACCGAAAAAATTAGAATTGTTAAACATCAGTTAACTTGTAGTAGTGCTAACGAATAATAAATAATAATTTTCTATAATACCTACTAACAAAAACCTTAACTTTTTTTCTAAATATATAGGGCGAGTCTTTTAACATAACGACTTAAAATAACTTGTAAGTTATTCGTTGTATGAAAAAATGTTTTAAAAAAACGTTGCTGAGTATCTAGGGGGACATACAGTGATCTAATCTGTTTTTTATTACCTTATCTTTTTAGCAAAATATTAGGGTCACCTTCAATTTTTGAAATGGAATGTTAAATGGAATATTTTTTCTCAAATTCGGATCAAACATCAACTTTTGCGTAAAAATGTATTATGCAAAGTGGAACTTAAAATGAATAATTACTAAGATATTTTTAAAACAAGTTTTATTTCAAGTGGTGTTCGAAGTGTTGTTCGTTACAGTCAATGCACTTACGTGATTGAATAATCAGCGAGCGAAGAACATTTTCCAGCGACTTTAACGTTTACTGAAATACTAAATAGGCATTTCATGCTGATGATTTCTAACATGTAACAGGGAACACGTTTACAAACATGACCTGCCGTCGTAAACAAAGTCGTGCTAAGAATCACGTTGATTGAGCGTATTTTCTCACAGAAGATTATTGATTTGAATATATCTCAGTAAGTATTCATTTTAAATTCCACTTTGTCCAATACTTTCTTACAACAAAAATTTGATGATTTATCCAAACGTAAGAAAAAATATTATACATTCTATTGAAAAAACTGAAGCTGACCTTAATATCTCGTTAAAAAAGTAAGGTAATATAATAACTTAGAAGTTATTTTAAGTCGTCATATTAAGAGACTCACCTTGTACATCAAACATAAATAAAATAATGACTTTAACTCTTTAGTTCCCACGTCCACTTTGAAGCAAATCGTGTATAAAATCTATTTAAATACTCTATATACGTTTCATCTGAGCAATTCCCACGTTTGCCTGTAGACAAAACTGTCGACGACGACATATAAACATCGTTTGAATTTGTTTTTGCTGAAGTGATCAGTTAATAGCTAGAGTTAGACTTTAAACGATCGTGTTACCAGTAGTGTATTTTCTAAAATTTTAAAAATAATATCATAGATTTTTAATGAAGTTCTAATAATTCAACTCATACGATAGACTCCACAAACATTAAAAAACAATATTCAATAAAAGATCATGTAAGAAAACTCATTAAAATCACCTATTTTATTAACAGAATCCTAAATGACTCTCCATGTAAATGTGTCTACATCTACACAAGGATACTACAAAATATAAACTCAAAACCATCACCAGTATCCCAAGTTCTAAACTAAATTCCGCAAATCTAAAACTCAATTACCATAACTATCTTACAAAAGAAAGAAAAACAAGAAAACAAATTTGCACTGCCATACAAGTTTACACTCTAATAAAACTTCAGAACAACCCTGAGTATCTCAAATCCAAAACCAAATTCCTCCAGTCTCATTACTAATTACCCTAAACACCCAACAAAAGGAAAAGGAATAATTAATCAATTGAAGTTATGAATTTCAAACTAGCACAAGGCCACTTTTTAAGTTATCCACATGAGTTATTGGTGTTGACCGTTTTCAGCTAGACCTGTTTAATATTAAAAATATTCACGTAATATAGATATACACGTAGCCAATCCTTTCAACAAGAATCAACAAAATAGGTAATGAATAAATAAAAGAAGATGAAAGGAAAGATTTTCTCCAAGTGTCGATTGATTAACTTGTGTTGTTTTAGAATTCGTAACTTCAATTTACACTCTGCTCCTCTCGAAACATCGAGTCAACAATAAAAACCGTTTCGAAAGCCACAAAATACAATCTTCTCGAACCTGGTCTTGTCCACGTCCCAATGGCTGATCCGTTCGCAGCTTCGGTATCCAGCACGGTTCCTGAAGCGTAGACCGCGTTGATCACGGGACAGATCCGAGCGGAGGCAGCGAAGAACGCGTGAAATCGGAACCGGAGGTCCTTTATCGCGAGGACTCCGGCGGCCTAGTTGGTACACAAGGGTGTGCGCGTGATCTATGGGCTCGTAATTTTTGGTCTTCGTATACTGCTAGGGGTGGCTGCCGGCGAACGCCACCGTTGACCGGCTCCGCGCCGGAGGGACACGCCCAGACAAGAAATCGCGCGCGCACAGGGGTAGCTAAAGCACGTAGGTGATTGGCTGGTGGGCGGAGTCCCCGCGACCCGCGGTAGTTGTGCGATAGCACATCGGGGTCGAACGAACGCAACCATCCCCGGTCGAGAGACCTCGAGCTTCGAAACCGGCGAAAGCGTGAAAGTCAACTCCTCGCCGTATTTCCCCTAATAATCGAAGAATGTGTTCTCTGACGCGGGGAATCCACACGTGACACCCGTGAAAGCTCCATCAGCCGCGACACGATGTCGACCGACACCCCTACTTGCCCGGGAACTTTGTGTCGCGGGTGAGGTGCCGGGGAAAGTTCTTCGGTTTTTGTCTGGAGTTACACTTACCGATGGAGCGTGGGCTTTTATGCGAGATAAAAGTATCTTGGAGTGATTTGGGAAGACGAGTTGGACAGTTTGTTTTGTTAACACTGGGTTTAAGGACATTTATAGTTTGTTCTATTGTTCTTGGAGTAGTTGATATTTTATTGATTTAAATTTCGGGAATTGGAGGTTTAATACTAAAAATACCACACGGGTCAAATTCAGCCATTTTAGAATGTTTAGTTTGCAAGTATTTAAAGTATGACAAGGCTTTTGCGAAAAATTGTAAAATAAATTTGTGTATTTGTATAGATATAACAATAAAGGACCCATCAAATCTCAAGAAATATATTGTTCTAATTTTTATAAAAACTTAGAAATAAATCACTCCAATTGTTCGGTAATTTTAGTGTTAAAAGTAGACAATAGTGGTACATATTTGTGTATCAGTATGAATTAAAATTGAAGCAAACGTTGACCAAATAATGTTTATAAAATTCAATACGAGTCAAATTAATTCGTTTCGTAAATCAAATGTTAACACTAGAACAACCGTACCCGGATGTATTCCACTACAGAAACTTCAAAAGTGCGTCTATAGAGACTTTATTTCTACTTTCTTTATGGAGATGTTTCTAAAACGATTATGAAATTTCTAGATAATATGAGTACTAAAGTAACATTAGTAGAATCTACTGCATGGGTAGAATTTAAAACAAAGAAACGTATCACGAAAAAGAAATGGATAATTACTATGTTCCTTCTGATAACTTATTTTACTGCAGTCTTGCAAAAAGGGCAATAGATATGACTTCAATTTCTCACAAACAAACTCCAAATATTTATACAAACATAGATTTTCGAGGATCAATTTATAGAGATTAAAATCAAGTAAAAATCTATTGGATTTATTTACAAATGAGATGTCAAATAAAATATAAATCCCATTATATCTGATTGAAATTCTACTCCACTGACAAGAAGACTTTGATCATTCGAAAATCAACATTATTTATCACAGAAGAAAGTTTAATTTCTAACATTATTTTACGTTGTTCTCTTTATTTTTTATCTGATTGTATTAATTATATTTTAATGTTAATGATTAATTGTATTCATAATAAAAATATTTACGTTCCACCTGATTCTATACTTATTCAATACATAATCTATTGGACATTTCACAAAATTTTAATGATTTCAATGATGCTCAATGATATGATTAAATTTCTTTGAAGGCACAGCTTTGAAGCGCGTACTTATGAGAAAAGCTACTGTAGTGAAACGTTAGTGAGTGACATCTGTTTGTTTCACACGGCGCGGGCACTGACATTACTGTTATGAGAAATTGTCGTAATAACCAGCACCGTCAATGAATATTTTATTCATTATTGCCTGAAAATCAATGATCGCTATCCCTGGTGCACACGTTATGTATCTAATAATCTCTGATACGGCTTATTTGTATGTTTCCAATTATTGTTTGTTGTTCCTCTTATACTTTATATTCTTTCTTAAATATTTATAACCAGGCATTAAATGAAATCATTTTCTGTTTTCTCAAAAATTCTTAGAGACATTGTAACGTAAATTAAAGAATGGTACTTTGAATGAAAAAAAAGGAGAGTCCAATTTTAAATTGTTTTACTTACAACCTAAGAAACAGTTTAGTAAATTAATAAATTAGTATTTGTACTGTTACACATTTCAAATATTGTAATACTGACGTTGAAAACATGAACTCAAAAGTTCATAAAGAAAATACTTTGCTGTAATCAATTTCTCGTCCGTGCACGCAACGTTACGCTATCAGACACCCGCGTGCTTTGAATTTGTATACATTGCATTATATTATTAAGTCACATTATTTATTCATTACCTTTATTCAGTTAACTTAGCAATGGTTTAATCATGTACATAGCATGTCGAAGTTGTAGAACACTTTTAAAGCTAAAACACAATTCCTTTCATTATTATGACAAGGTAATTTATTACCTAAAAAAAGTAACTACCAGACAAAATATAGAAAGTTCTATTGAAGTTTACAACATTCTTATAAAATCCTCGATAAAAAAAATATAAAAAAGAATGAAATTTGAAAATTCATTGATTATCGTTGAATATTTTCGTTGAGATTACAAAAGATAAACCTTTATGCAAATTCAAATTTTCAAGAATATAAGTAAAAAACTGGAATTGCAATAGAAAATGATCCTTTCTGGCAGTTATACAATTTATATAAAATAATTTTATAAACGTATTCTCTGTGATTAAACTTTAATTCCATTTTCTAAAATATCGAGTACGACTTGTGATGTAAATGTTCAACTCCACAAATCTAAATGTTATTTATTTTTTGTATAAATGAAATATTGCTTACCCATCATCAATATTTGACCTATAGAGCAAACGTAAACACGTAATAACCACCGAATTCTTTTTTTTTCTACTGACTTATCAACGATAAAGTAGTTTCACCAGGCCCAATTGTGAAGGAAATCATAGGACGGATTAAAACGGATTAAAACTAAACGTACCGACACTTTGTATATACTTATTCGTACAGTACTCGGTCAAATAACTGGTTACAAAATAAAAGTAAACAAATTAGAAGATAAATTTTTCTTAGTGAAGGCAGAAACAAAAAGAAACATAAAAATTGAGAAACTATTCAATCGGACAATATAGGAATTGTTATAAAGTTAAATGAACAGAAGAAACCGCAGAATTTTTTATTAAATTTGAAAACCGGTCGTTTGATCGCTCACAGTACGTATAGTGTTAAGAATCTACACGAACTTCTTTTCGGTATCCAATATATTTTTCGCATTGTGTGCATACTATGCAATTTTGTGCATTCAAATATCCCATAAATGCATGTGGATCCGCAGTCTGGTAATAAGATTACAAAAAAACAAATAAGAATATCGAAAGAGAGAAACAAAGCAGTAAACAGAAAAAATTAATTTTAACCGCGTCGGATCGACTCCGCTCGGGGAAAAGCAAGCAGTCTGCACTTGATAGGTCGAAGGATCCGGAGATCCTGAAGCATATCCTCGACGTGGCAGGAGCAGAAAATCGCGTTGAAGTGGCAACGGTCGGGCTAATGGCTCGGCGACGATATTTTGTTAAACAAGGAAACCTTTTATCCCCCACACCGTTTCTTGCGCGGGCGTTCGGCGACAGGAACGGCTCCGTTTCAAAAGAACTCGGCTTCTGTTCCCTCTCGACGTTGCGCGTATGTATTGTACGCTTTACCGAGGGAAATGGGTGTCGTCGAACGTGTTTGCGTATTTTACTTTCTTCGCAAATATCGATTAACGATATTCATAAGTTAACACTAGAGCTACCCGTCAAAATGACGGATTTCAGATTTCTTATTTTGAAATGTCCTAAAAGTGGTAAATATCCAAAATAATTTGAAAGAATAAATAATTTCGCTTGAATGCTATAATGAATATACGAGGAGATTATATATAATCTATTGTTACGATTTTTATATGGTTTGCGAGTTAATCATGTTTAACGCTAATTCTAGTCTTAATAAAAATAAATTTTAAGTAGTCTCTGTAGTTACGGTCTTAGAAAAATTATTTTATGTATGTTTGTGTGGCAGGATGGTTGAGAAATTATAAGTAATTCTATAGTAAAAATTATCAATAATTATCTAGTTAGTACCACTGATAAAATTGTATTTAAAAATTTCACTTACCTTACCTTACCTTATCCATTGAGCTTTTGTTTCATGAATAAAGATTATGAATGAACGTTAAAATTATTCGCATAAAATAGAATACAAAAATTAAAAAGTTAAATAAACTTATCATTGTACGTTGTAAAAATATATTTTTTATTACAGATTAATTACTAATATTCTATTGGCATCTTCAACTAAATACCATACTAATAAACTAAAAATACTTTACTCGACAAGTGCTTCGTTCACAGATTGAAATTGTCTAAATATAGTATTATTTTTTTGCCAATGATCTATAAGAACATGCAATTCAAATTTCAAAAGTGAAAAAGTAAAAGTGTTCCAAATTTAACTTTGAAATGCATGCATATTTAGACACGACATGGTTAGGCAATGAATATATCGTTTTTCCATGTTTTTAAGTGTTAAAATTATTTTCCTGTCTGTATGGTTAACTTAGTACCCAGTTGTGAAATAAGAAATAACGAAAAGAATAAATAATAGATTGGAGAAGTGTCGAAAAGTATCGTCAATCTACTCGTTGCATGTCGTAGTGTCTACTGGAGAAAAGAGAGTCACGATAAAAGCGGCCCTGTACCGTCACTTTAGTTTTCTTGTCACCAGAAGAGAATGAGTTGGAAGTGTGAACCGTCGACCACCACGACAAGATACCACCTGTCTCCTCTCACGGTTCGCCCACGCATATAACACCGTTTCTCGCGAATTCCTTCGATCCCTCTTGCCCCTTTCGAGATACGAATCGATGTAACGCAACTGTCCAAAAATTGTCAACTATTATCCATGGTAAATCCCAAGCAGTAAATTAATCTATTTCAACATAAAATAAAGTAAAATAAAAAGGATTATTTTCGTTACTTTCAATGACGACAGGATTAGTCACTGAAGTATCTAGTTGTCTTGATATAAATATTTAAAATACAACATAATAAATTAATAATTAAATATTGAATATTAAAAATAAGACTTGAATTATATTCATTATTTATTGTTACATTATGGAAGAGGTAAACTTACAAATTCGGTTATCAAGATGTCAAGTATATATACTACTTATTTTGTATATTATTAATTAAATAATTCTATTTTAAAACTTATTTTTAGGTGATAATATAGATTGTTCTGAATTATTTAATTTTGTCTGAAAATGTTGAGTTTCAAATACAGTAAAAACCTTATCAAATATTGTTTTACTTTGAGCTGTATACTATTATTATTGGCACGCTATAATACAATATAATACTACTAATGTTAATGTTTTAATCATTTTTAATGTGAACATATTAACTAAGTTAATGTTTTAAGATTTTTTTACTTCTCTAATTCCAAGTGTTTCATTAACTCGTTCTCGCTTACATAGATACCTATAAGATAAACACAGTAAATATAGTATGTATATATTACTTAATTCAGAAGCACAGCTTGTTTTAATCACATACGTCAGTATGTTTCAAATTAATCGAATCAAATTAATCTGTAAATTATCTTTGACATAAAAAGCGGATAGTGAATTAGAAAAAAAAATGGTTCCGGCCGGGATCGAACTGGCGACCTTCTGCGTGTAAAGCAGACGTGATAACCGCTACACCACGGAACCTCTTGGTAGAATTTTTCAATTTTAGATAAGAGATATTTAATCTATTATATTACTGTTTTTAATACACATTTTTCAATTGATTATAAGTAACTTAGAATATTATATGAAGTGTTTTAATTTCCGTATAAAATACGAAGCAAATTTGCAACATGGATACGTTTAAGTACATTGATAATTATTTGAAAATACATACTATGTAACTTCTTCAAAGAAGATTCTGATTTTTACGTATCTAAGAAAATAATAACAAATCAATTTTATGAATTTACATAATATTAATGTACAATAGTTATAAAAAGTATTTGTGCACTGTATACCTAGGAAAACTGTTTTATATCATTGTAATAAATACATTATAAATGTGTGTTAAAACAAGGTGGTTGTTATAAATTAATAGAGATTATTTGTATTAATGCATTTTATTTATAAACATATGAAATATTTGGCCTGTATAGAATATCATATACGCATCACATATTAATGGCAGTGAAACTGATTCAAACACTATATAACAAGGTATTCTACATAAATAACATTTTTTTTACCTTACATTCGACTTGAGTTCTGAATCGCACATTCCTTGTTTCTTCAATGATATAAACCGAAACGGATATAAGTAAGTACACGGAAAACTTTAATATTCTCACTAGTGTGCTCTTTACGGTCACACAGCACGCGCGTAATAATATACGTAAGTCGTTAATAATTTAAACGTTCATTATCTTGATACCATTGTCACAGTGAAAAATTAATGGAAGACATAATGTACAGTTACAATTCAGTCTTGCCAATGAGAATTCGATAATACAATTTACTTGAAGCAAATTGGACCGAATGTAAAACCGAATGCCTGATGGGGTGAACCGTAATCGATTGGATAAAAATCTACCAACGGTAATTGTTTCAATTTCTTCGTTTGAACTAAAAATACAGTTTCTCCTTTACTCTTGCGGGTCTTACAACCATCCGTTACGATTTCTGGCTTGTTGGCGGTGTATGAAAATTCATCTTCGTTCGAACCGAGCAATCGTAGCGCGGTGTCGTAATTAGAATTTGCAGCATCGTACCATGCGACGCTGTTAATGCAAGTATAAGTGAAATTTTGATAACCTCCTTGACTCAACAGACGAAGGAAATTCAATTGTACCACTCCGATAGTCTCGTACGTAATCTATAACATTAATAGCATAATACAAAAGATGTTTGACGTAATCCGTATACGTCTATTAAGAAATTTAAACTCACTTTAAATCCACCGCGCAAATTCGAGTACCAATCCGTTTTATTGTTTTCCTTTCTCCATGGAATATTCGGCATTTGGCTCGCATGAATATCAGGAAACACGCAAGTTTCGCCCATATTCGTCATGTTACAATAAACGTAAACAGCATCGTCAGCCATTCCCAAGTTTGGATCGATCCAATACCAGCCTGTATTTTTGTAATGCTTGTAAACTTCCATGTTGTTCGTAATGTCACAAATTTATACACGTAACGATTAAAAGAACACCAACCATCATTAAAGTGGGGATGTCCATAAAACAAGTCCCTGCAAGTCCTTACAGGATTTTCTCTGCTCCCAATTGGTTTACGTATTCGGTCCAATTCTTGTCTCATAGAGTATATCGAACTATAGATGTCCAAAAACTTAGGTCCCAATTCCTCCTCGGTAAGATTATCTTCATTTAGATTCTCTGGAGTTTTACCTTTTTCGTTCTCGTCACTTCTAGAATAACTAAATATATTGTAGATCACACAAATATATCCTTGGATTTAATTGAATATTAAATCGGAGATTCTTACGAATTTTTCGAAACATCCCGCTTCTTCCTTATTAAGTGTTCTCTGGTGAACAGTAGTTCTGGTGGAATCATCGGTTGCTCCGCTGGTGGACCTGGTGGTCCAGGAGGACCTGGTAGACCCACGTCACCCTTTGCTCCATCATTTCCAGCATTACCTTTCGGCCCAAGTGGTCCTTCCATACCAGGAAGGCCGGCAGGTCCATCATTTCCTTTGGGTCCAGTCGATCCTGGCGCACCTTGGATACCTATGGCTCCCTCAGGTCCAGGAGCTCCTCGTGGTCCTTGCTCCCCCTTTTCGCCTTGTTCGCCTTTGATGCCTAAATGACCTAGGTCTCCGCGATGTCCTTTTAGTCCTCTTTTACCCCTTTCACCCTTTGGACCTTTGGGTCCAACTGGTCCAACTTTTCCAGGAGCTCCAATTGCCCCTGGCATGCCGGGTGGCCCATTCTCTCCTGCAAGTCCTGGAAGACCTCTTAAACCTGATAGACCTTCCGGTCCCGGTAAACCTTGTGATCCCGTGTGGCCTTGAATCCCTTTGGGTCCAGGCAAACCCATATCACCCTTCTCACCTGGTAGGCCTGGACTTCCTTGAAGTCCTGCTGGGCCTTCTGGCCCCTGAATAACACATCAACCATTTTAATTTTTATTTGCAAGTTTTCATGCATTTAACAGAAACATTTTAACAGTTATTGTAATTTTGTACCGGTTTCCCGGGAGGTCCAGGCAATCCTTCTTTTCCTGGAGGTCCAATTTCTCCTGACGGCCCAGGATCACCAGACTTACCATCTTCGCCATTTTTACCAGGCTCTCCCTTTGGACCGACTAACCCCGGCTCTCCAGGAGGCCCTGGGAAACCAATGGGACCTACGTGACCTTTTGGCCCCTCCGGACCATTTATTCCACGAACACCCGGAGGTCCGGGCGGCCCACTTTTTCCTTCTTCTCCTTTAGGACCCGAAGGACCTCTTTCACCCTGTAGTATGCATTTTAAAGTGTAATTTTTACTTCTTGTTAGGCAATTAATTAAAGAATTTAGGAGATTATTTTTACCAGCTTTCCTTCGGGACCAACACCACCTGGAATTCCGGGTAATCCACTGTCTCCTTTCTCTCCCTGGCGTCCTTCCGGTCCTAGAGGGCCTTGTATACCTTCAGCACCTTTAGGTCCTCGTAGACCTTGTTCACCGGGACTTCCAGCTGGTCCTATAAGACCCGGTGCACCAGTATCCCCAGCTTCTCCTTTCGATCCTGGTGGGCCAGGTAATCCTTGCAGTCCTACCGGTCCAGATGTACCTGGCGCACCAACAGGGCCATCTTCACCTTTTGGACCTTGTCTTCCAATTTCCCCTGGCGGTCCTTTTTCACCAGGCAAACCAATGGCACCGGGTTCTCCTCGGAGCCCTTGTATTCCAGGTGATCCTGGAGGACCCTGTAGGGCGTTACATAAGATAAGTATCAATTATATTGCATTAATAAATATTAGAAACTGAATTATCCGCACCATTTCCCCTTGAGACCCTTTGAAACCTTTTTCACCGGGTGGTCCGATATCCCCTTTATCACCATCTTCCCCTGGAACTCCAACAGGACCAGGAGGACCTGGTAACCCACGTTGCCCTGGTAAACCGTCACGTCCGGTAGATCCTGATGCACCTGGTTCACCCTAGTTAATCAAGTCATGTTACATCATTTTATCTGTCTTTCATTTATACTACCCATAAAGTTATTAATTATGTGGTATTATCAGTACCATTTCTCCTTTTAAACCAACTGATCCCGGTGGTCCCTTTGAGCCCTGAGTACCTTGAGGTCCAATTTCGCCATCTTTACCAGGTTCTCCTTGAGCACCTTTATCACCCGGTGGACCTTGCAGTCCCGGCACTCCCATTTCTCCTTTCGGACCCGGCATTCCCTTTGTTTAAAAACAGACAATTTAGTTCTTCAAAAGCTACAAGTTTGTTAGAACAGAATTCCCTGCGTATTCATATTTATAAAAATCATAATCATCAGAGAAAAGACACACCGGTAAACCATTCTGTCCTCGTTCACCAGGAAATCCTGGTAAGCCACCAGGACCAGGAGGGCCATCTTTACCCGGCAAACCTGAAGGTCCTGGTGGCCCATCCTTTCCTTGCTCACCAGGAGGACCTGTCTCTCCAGGAATACCAGGATTTCCAGGACTTCCAGACTCCCCTGGCTGACCAGGCTCACCGGCTGGACCTTGCGGTCCTATAACGCCGGGTGCTCCCGGAGGTCCTGGTGGCCCTGAATCACCAACTGGCCCACGTTCTCCCGGTGGACCAGGAATTCCATCTTTCCCGTCGAGACCAGCTTGTCCTTGAACTCCTATAAAACCGCGGGGACCTTCAACGCCAGGTTGGCCAACGTCTCCTTGCAATCCTGGAGGACCTGGTTGTCCAGTGTCACCTTTTGGACCTGGCAAACCTTCGGCACCTCGTCTTCCACGAACACCCCTAAAGCCCTTTAAAAGTGATATAAACATAATTTAATACCAAATTATATCAATGTAAATATTTTTTAATTCATTTATTTATTGATTAATATTAGTACGATATGTCACTACAGTAGTTAAACGAGGACATAAGAAAAGTAAAATAAAACTCGAAAATAAATTCAAACAAACAATTACAGTCAATAATAATTCTGTCATTCATGTAATTTATAGTAATATATTTAGCCAACTCAAAGACGGCAATACTTTGTTTTCTACCTACCCTGGGTCCTGCTTCACCGCGTTCTCCAGATGCGCCACTACTTCCCTAAAATTCAACAATGCTGTATTCAATTTTATGTATCTTTCACTTTAGACTATCTTAAAATAAAATTTCAAATGTTTTACCCTTTCTCCTTTATCCCCTTTGAGACCCAGCCTTCCTGGTTGACCCTTTTCACCTTTTTCACCAGCACCACCAGGATATCCAATGAAACCTGGGGATCCAGGTTTACCTTTTTCTCCAGAAACACCAACTGGTCCCGTTTCACCCCGTGGACCTTCGAAACCCTTTGGACCTTCTAAACCTTCCAAACCAGGAATTCCTTGCGGTCCCGGTGATCCAACTTCTCCTTTTGCTCCAGCATCACCTTTTTCTCCTTCCGTTCCTCTTTCTCCTTTTTCCCCGCGTTCACCTAGTGCTCCGCGTTTTCCTTCATCACCTTTAACACCACGAAGTCCTGGGAAGCCTATTGGACCTTGCGGTCCTTGAGGTCCTTGTTCACCTTTCATTCCAGGAACACCCGGATTACCTGCAGGACCGGGTGACCCGTCTGCTCCGGGAAGACCAGGAATACCTGGTTTCCCTTGCGGTCCCTTCAAAATTTTATTTCATTTACAAAACTATTAAAAATTACCTAACTGAACTATAGATTTCTATGCATTTGTGGAAAACTTGAAAATGCAAAATTATACAGAATACACACAATACGGAAACATATATAAAACATCCAAAGTGCAGTATTACTTTTTCTAACATCTCTGAGAAAAAGACCTTTTTCTATCGTAATTCTCTTTTCCTAATAATATTCTTAAAAACTTGAATTTCCATAAAGATCTGCAGTCCGTACATAACATTTCATTTACAAAATTTCTGATGAAACTTACGACTAATCCAGTTGGTCCCAGAAGACCTTGAGGCCCAGGTGGACCGACAGGTCCCAATGGTCCTAATGGTCCAGGCGCGCCTGGAGCGCCCTGTGGTCCAGTGTTACCTTTTGCTCCGAGTGGACCTTCACCCCCAGGAATCCCGGGATTACCCGGTAGTCCGGGAAAGCCTCGAGGTCCTATGAATCCTCTTGGTCCCTAAAATTATCTCGAAAGATATAAGGTTTCATTACTGTTTAAATATAGTATGCAATATATTTCCACAGTATTCTCGTTACCATTTCACCAGGCAAACCCGGCAAACCCGGTGGACCATCGTCACCTTGCATCCCTTCGTGACCTGGTAAACCAGGTTCACCAGTAGCACCTGGAGGTCCTCTTTCACCTTTATCACCGGGTAATCCTGGCAGACCAATTGCGCCTTGTTCACCTTTTATCCCAGACGGGCCGCTTACACCTCTCTCACCATCTCTTCCAGGGCGACCTCTTCTACCCTCTCTACCAGGTGTTCCTGGTACTCCTGTTAAAATGCAGCGAATGTATCATAAATGCTAGTAGCACTTATCACTTCCGCAACAGACGATAGCCGGACAAAACGTTTAACTGAATGCAGGATATCATTTTCGAAAGTCTGTAGCTGAGGACAACAAGGTTCTGCTATGTATAGGGATGTAAATACAAGAAATATTAAATCTCCATTTGATACTTATAGTCATTTGTTGTTCAAAGTTTTCAAAGTTGAACATTACAAATGTGTATGGGAAAGATATATGTTTAATCAAATGTATTCAATTAAAGAATTTTAAATAACGTAGGATTATGTTTTCCGTCGCGAAAGTATTAGTTATCTTTGAAGAAATAAAATTTTCGTTAGATGTACCCCTTTCACCGCGTAATCCAGGTTCACCAACTTCGCCAGGTTCCCCTTTCTGGCCTTTAGAACCTGGTAGACCTTCAGGGCCAGGCAAACCCGTCAATCCTGTGGGCCCTTCTGCCCCTCTCATAGCCGTCAAGTGCTGCGAAAGCATTTGCCTCAAAACTTCCGCCTGGGAGTCTGGCCCTTTCTCGTTGCTCTGTTGGTTCAACGATGGTATTATGAAAACATTACCAGGCGGACCTGGTGCACCTTGCAACCCCGCTATCCCATCTCTTCCCGATTCTCCCTTCTTACCGGGTCCTCCAGGTACACCTGGAGGTCCCGGAAACCCACGTGGCCCCGGCAAACCCCGGGAATTGTAATATCCGGAGCCATAATACGAGTCTTCCGCGGATACTGAATATATCGGAGTTCCCGGAACTCTGTCAAGTGAATTTCCAGAATTCTCAGGTGTTTCTGAATCTGTTGGTTGGTATTCTTCGGTTACATGTACGTCGACACCATTGGCATTCTATAGAAATTAAGTTTATGCACAGTTTACGATACGTGTATTGGAAAGTCAACCTTTAAAATTTAATTCATAGAATTTTTGAATATCAAAATAGCAAATGACTCACGGTATTCTGATTCTCAGAAGGTGTCGCGACTGTTGGTCTTAGGACATACGTAGGAATCGTAGGTTTATAAAGCGAGTTATATTCGTTGTCGTCTTCGACCGATGCTTCCTGGCTGTCCTTTTCGTTTACCTCGTCGTAAAAGTCGTCCGTTCGACTGCCAGTTGTTTCGTTTTGATTATAAAAGAAAGTATTTGAACCAGTTACTGGAGCAGACGTTCTGCCATTATTTCTAGAGAAATTGACGTTATTGTAGTTTGCTCCGTAGTATGATCTGGTTGGATACATGCCACCGAAAAAGCTAGGGTTCCGTGCTGTCTGAATCGCGCCAGCACTTGTCAATCTGTCATAATAACTAGACGATGATCCATAATTCTGGACGTTTGAGTAATTACTCTGCTCTGCCAAGTATTTCGTCTGATTGTTACAATCCGGTGCATAGATCGTACAAATCTCGTAAGCTGCGTCTGGAACTGGAGCAATCTTCAGTATCTCTAAACCACCCTGTCGACAGTGTCAATTTGGTAAGTTTATGTTTGTATGATTTCGATGTATTTTCTTGATTTCTTTCTCACGAACCAGATATACGTTGCCATCAACAAGCTGCTGGCCAATGATTATGATACCACTAATGCTGACCGTTTCCTCGAGGTTTCTGCGTAATTCTTTCGTAACTTGATGGCTACAATCGACGATCAGCGTAACAGCGTCCCCTTTGATACTGATTCCCAAACGATGCCATTTTCCGTCAGAAATATCAACCCCAAACGAAATGGATTTGTCCTCATTATCCGGGGTTGTGCTGTAGTAAAGGGTGACATCACTACCCAGTGACAGCACCAACTGTTCCTCCCCACTATCGCTGTAGATGGCAAACAGCGTGGCAGCCGGATACCCTAATTTTTTTTATCGTTACTTTTTGAAACATTCATTTCTATCCACGCATTTATTTGTATCACAACGAAATAAAATAAATGTCCCGTTAGTTTTGAAAGTGAAAAAAGTCATACGTTTTTAATTTTGAGACATTTAAATGTTTGTGTTTAAATAGACTGAAAGATATTTTTATACTATGTAACAAAATATTTCAGAAAATATATTGGTTTTATTAAGTTAAAGGCACAAATATGACTTGCAAAGTGACAAGTAAAATAGCAACACTGTAAAACTGCATGAAACCTAATGCTGTCTTCTTTATCAGTTGTTGAATCATACCTTAGAAGACAGTTTAAAAACTTACATCTTAATTTGTGATTGAGTTCAAATATAACGTATGATTTTTTAATGTTAAACTATTTAAAAAATATATTGAAACGAATGAAATTTATTTACTTTTCGCGTATAAGGATTTGGTTAGATTGAAGGAAATACATTAATTAAAATAATTACAAACCGATTTTTGGTTTAGCAACGACTAAGATGGAAAAATCACGAGATATGCCGGCGGGGAACAGTGTATTCGTAGTGATCGTCAGTACTGCACTGCTCGCGATCTCATACGCGATCGATTCGTTCCTGTGACAACGATTCTCTATTAGCGTTACTCCTTGGGGCTCCTGCTGCATTCCGGTACCTTCCACCAGGTCTACAGTACCCTTTTCTGAAATTGTTAAAGAAGAAAATTCAAATATGATAATCCACAAAAACGGACATAGACATAATCTTGCGCAAACAATATTAATACTTCAACAAATTATTCAATAAAACAGCACTAAATGCTCATTTACTTAATAAAAAAGGAATATTGTTTTATCTAAAAATTTCAACATTTAACCAATGAAAAATTAACAACTGATCTTTTATTTATGCTTAAAATCCTTTATCTAGACGTCCATCCCTAATTATAGTTATTTGTCTATATATTTATATGAAAATATTCTTTTTAATGAATGTTTATTAAACCACACCTATTTCAAAATCTAACATGAACTAATAAAACCCACAGAAAAAGGTCTAATGACATTAAAGCGATGACGGGAACGTAAAGAACTGGAAACCTAATAACCCCTGAACTCGATAGACGTAACTCGTCGCGTTACGCCGAACACTTAAACCAGTTCCCATTAAGAAGTCCTCTTTTCCAGAGTGGAACACGCAGTTTTGCATGCTACAGGCAGCGACTCAATTAACGTAATAGAGATCACTTAAAAAGACATTCGCTGGCAACGACTTTTATTGCATGACCCGCACAACGATTTCGATGCTGGTATCAATGCATGTCACCTACATAAGTTACAGTAATCGCGTTTAAATTTAAATACGCGTGTTCTAGTAAAGAATAAAGGAAACAAGGTAAGCCGTGAAGCTCGGTATGCATTTAGATGAACTACTTACCCATGTCTTGCAAGGTGATACCGGCTACCAACGAATACAACCCCAAACTCAGCAGAAAATACAGCACCGAAGAAACGGAGTTGATGGTGCGAAGCGGTCGCAGTGTTCTCCATTGCTTCTTCACGTAGTCCCGCCGCATGCTACCCTCTCCTCGTCATATCATGGTCCTTACAGCGAATTTCCCTGAATATGTTTCACCGCGAAAGCAACCGCGCGTTCGTTTGATAACAAACTCTATCGCGAACCCGTGAGACCCGATATAAATCGTCCTGCCCCTAGCCGCGTAACTATCCGAATGTAATAGTCGCCTCGTTACAGTTACCCATCCCGAGCATGTACTCTTTCTTCTGACTTGCGATCCCTCCTCTCTAATTCTAATGTCTCCCCGCTCTTCTTTTTCATAGGCGCCGATGCACCGTCTTGCGCGCATTCCACACATGTGTCTTTTAATGACAATTCCACGTCCCTTCTATTGACACTGATTCAGATAACACGTGGTGCAACGGGACACCGACGGGGTAGGGATCGTTCCGCCATCGAGATGGACACGTTTTTGTATGAACGAGAATTACTTTTTTAACATTTTTTTATTTTTTCTTCTCCTTAAACTTGGTCGTTCGAATCCCCTATTAGTTTTTAATAAACAACGGTGGGAATATTTATCGCTTCAAATATAAACAGAATTTTTGTAATGGTATTTTAAAGATACAAAATTTTTACTGACTAACATTGTAAGGTGGGCCCCTTTGGAGATAGTTGTGCTAACATTTTCCTTCATTAGGAAACCGAGTGATAGGATTATGGAGTTCGGGTATTGTTTCGTGATTCGTTTTTAATATCTACATCTGATACGAATCAATGATCGTCAACCAAAAATATTAACTGGTTAGGTGAATAAGTAAAGGATTGAGGAAAGAAAGACCTTAATTCAGTTTTAACCAAAAAAACTGTGAGAATAGAATTCATGAAATAATTTATACTTGCTTTGGCCAAGATGCATAGTGAGCTGAATATTTTTGCAATAAATGTTTATTTCAAATAACAAAGAAAAATAATAATATAAAATACAGTATTAATATAATAATAATATAAGAAACATCGTAACTCAGTTAAAGTTTTAGAAAATAAAATCATGTTTGTTTAATCCAGTTAGACATACCGTACCAAATACAGTACTTACGACTCGTTTAAGAAAAATGATTAACGTATCCACTAGAATTTATATTATTATCAATTGAAAACTGTATTATTAATTAAAAAACAACAATTCATAAAATTTTGACAAAACTAATTACAAATTTGAATAAATTAAGAGAATCACGGGAAAGAAATAATACGTGGAGGAAATGAGACTAGTTGAACATAACGTGGTAGATTTGGATTTATTAATTGTTCCGCGAGTGAATGCGATCATCGTTTAACTATGAAGGTTTTAATTAGTTACTTCCCGAGTTGATGTTCCTTATAAAGAACTTTTGTTCTACGAACGCCAGATAACAATTGTACTAACTGTATTATAGTACATAAGTGTACAAAATATAAAGATAAATCATGAGAAAATATTATTTTTAAATATGCAATACAATAATGGACTAATTTACAAATAAATGACAGAATATATTAAATTAGGTACAAGTACCTTTATATACTGGAAAACTATTTTTCCATTTGCATAGCAAGCATTATTCTTATTATTAAAAAATTAATAGTTATAAGTTCGATGTACATTACAGACATTCTGAGTCTGCAATATTGTTAAAGTCATAATAGTTGCAAAGGAAACTACAGCATTAATCAGATTGTTTACTTCTGATTAGTTACATAATTACAAATACTACAAATAAGTATGTTTATTCAAAAATAAACAAATATGTGGGATAATTCATTCCAAAGAATTAAAATTTGCCACAATAATAACAGAATTCTGCACCTTACAATTTTAGATGAAATTAGTAAATATCCTTCTATAAACAGGGGAATTATATAAATAATCGCAGAAATAATCAATTTCAGTAATCCAGTACACGTGACAAGTCCCATAAACTCGCAATGTTTATCCTATATCTTGTCTGTGGTTTAATATAAAAATTTACAAATCAAACCAATGGCATAAAAATATATAAATAAATTAAAAGAAGAGTGCCTTTTATTTTTTAAAAAATCACTTACTGTGAACCCTAAGAAATTATTTTTTTCTACTGAGAAAATTTGATTCATTCTTTACACTTTATTACCGACGGGTTAAACACGTTTAAAGTACGAGAAATATTATACTACGTCGCCACTGTATATAACTATTAATTGCCATGTGGTTTCGTGTACCTATCAGTTGTCAATATAACCTCTTAAATTTTTCGCATAGTATTACGTATTTGACATATAAGTAATACGCAATGGCTAAAAAAAACAAAGTTAAAGTTTACAATACAAAGAAAAAACATATTTCTGAAACAAAAATAATCACACAATTACAATCGAAGTATAATGACGTAAGTATTAATGTATGAATATGTAAAACTTAACTCGTCTTCACAATTGTTATATTTTTACAGATTGATGAAACGAGGATAATAAAGTTTAGTGACCTTCCTTTATCATCGAGAACTTTAAAAGGCTTAGCAGAAAATAATTATATTGAGATGACAGATATACAGAAGCAAAGTATTGGATTAGCATTACGTGGTAATGATATCTTAGGAGCAGCAAAAACTGGTAGTGGAAAAACTTTAGCATTTCTTATTCCGGTAAGAAACTGCTTGATCGTATGCTCTACTGAAAATCATAAGAAAATAAATTATAATGTAAACATAAATTTATATATTTATTTAAGGTATTGGAAATTTTATATTGTAAACAATGGAGCAGGTTAGATGGACTTGGTGCACTGGTTATCACACCAACCAGAGAACTTGCTTATCAAATATATGAAACCTTACGTAAAGTTGGATCACACCATGATATTTCTGCTGGTCTTATTATTGGTGGAAAAGATTTAAAATTTGAAAAAAAGCGCATGGACCAATGTAATATCGTCATATGTACTCCAGGACGTTTATTACAACATATGGATGAAAATCCTTTATTTGACTGTGTAAATATGCAGGTATATAATTACACAAGAATGTAAAAATTTTAAATATAAAATTTAATAACAATTAAATAATGTAATTATATATTCACAGTGTTTTTTAAATTGCAGATTTTAATATTAGATGAAGCTGACCGATGTTTGGATATGGGTTTTGAGCAAACTATGAATTCTATTATAGAAAATTTGCCTCCAAAAAGACAAACACTCTTATTCTCTGCAACTCAAACAAGGTAAATTTATTAATATTATTTTTATTAATATTTAATGCTACTGATATTCTAATATTTGCTATCACTATTATTGTAATTTTTATAAGGTCTGTCAAAGATTTAGCCAGATTAAGCTTGAAAGACCCTATGTATGTATCTGTTCATGAACATTCTACTCATACTACACCTGAAACTTTGCAACAGAGTTATGTTATATGTGCCTTGGAAGATAAAGTATCAATGCTATGGTCGTTTCTACGAAATCACTTGAAACAAAAAGTTATTGTATTTTTCTCTAGTTGTAAACAGGTATAATAATATTTAATATAGTCACATCAAGTACATAAACGAAAATAGTAATATTGTTTGTATTTAGGTAAAATATGCATATGAAATATTCTGCAGATTGAGACCTGGCATAAGTTTATTAGCTCTTTATGGTACTTTACATCAACTCAGAAGAATGGAAATTTATGAAACTTTTTGTAAGAAACAATTTGCAGTTTTATTTGCCACTGACATTGCAGCTCGTGGATTAGGTATACAAAAAATATTTCTATAGAGAATATTGTATAGTTTATGTAATAACTGTTAATTACACTTTATGAATAGACAAATTGTAGAAAACTATTTAGTACAAAAATTCATTACAAGAATATTATTATATTCTATGCTAATATTGAAACAAATATCTTAAAAGTGAATAAAAATTAGAACAACTTTTCTTAAATTTCATAAACAATAAATGAGTTTTAATTAAAATTAATATTTATCAGTAATACTTAGAATTATTAAATATTTTAGATCTTATTTTTAGTATAATGTATTTTAGATTTCCCTGCTGTAAATTGGGTTGTACAAATGGATTGCCCTGAAGATGCAAATGCATATATACATCGTGCTGGTAGAACTGCTAGGTTTAAAAGTGGTGGTGAATCTTTATTAGTTTTATTACCTTCTGAAGAAAGTATGATTGATAAGTTAAAGGAGCGCAAAATTCCAATATCTATGATTCAGTAAGTTACAAATGAGTGTGCTCTATGACATAATTGAATGATAGCCAACAATGAAATTTGTTTGTTTAGGATAAATCCAAACAAATTACAAAATCCTCAACGTAAAATGGAAGCATTATTAGCGAGGGATGTATCACTAAAGGAAAGTGCTCAAAGAGCATTTGTAGCATATGTGAAATCAGTCTTTTTAATGAAGGATAAAGAAGTTTTTAATGTTCGAGCATTAAATACTGATGCATTTGCGAGGTAAAAAAGTAGATAATATAAATTACTAAACAGAATTATTTACCTAACTTTTTAACAATATATGTATAAATATTTTATATTGCAATTGTTGGTGTAATTAGATCGTTAGGATTAGCTATACCTCCAAGAATACGGTTTCTACAAAGAATGGAACAAAAACGACTATCTTCTAAAAATGTTGACTTTAAAGAACAAATTACAAATAATGAATCAAATAATTATATACATCAAGAAAATAGTCCAAACTCTTTTAATGATGAGGACTCTGAGAAAGATGAAAATATCAAAAATCAAATGACGAAAACAAACAATTTTGCACTGGGTATAGAAACAACTGTTAATAATTTTATCATTATTTATGTATTCCATAAAGTAATGTATCATTATACTTTATTCTAATGTAGATGACAGTGATGATGATGACATATTAACTTTGAAAAGAAAAAATATAAACATTGATGATATACCTGAAGTTTTCGCTAATGATGATAATTTGGATTTAAATAAAAAGAAAGCTGTAACAAAAGCCGCAATAGCTAAAAAGATTCTCAGGAAGAAAATAGTACCAAATAAGAGAACGACTTTTGACGAGGAGGGAGAGGTTTGATTACATTTTTTAGATGAAATTTTGTATATGATATTTAAATTTTATTGAAATATGATTTCCAAATTTTTAATCTTTCAGAGAGTACTGGATCCTACTAAAGTAAAGGTATCAGATTTAGCACGACAATATGAAAATGAAGAAGAATCTGGTATTAATATAGAAATAGCGAAACAAGTATTACGCGAAGAAGACAGATTTGATAAACAACGCTTTAGGCAAAAAATTAAAGAGAAACACAAAGAAGAAAAACGAAAATTAAAAGCCAGTAAGAAAAAAGAAGATACAGATCAATTTAGTGATGAAGAAAATATGGAAAATATTGATGATAATAATGGTAGCGAAAGTGAACAAAGTGAACCGGATTTATCATGGTTACCAGATCCGGATAAAATTTATGGTAAAGAAAATGAAAATAATAAAGATACGTTAGAAGACTCTGAATCAGAGGAATATGAAGAGGAAAGCAAAATACATAGGTATGTGTTGCAATAATTAATACTAAACGTATCTATAAAAATATACCTGTTTTATTTATTATATTGTAATATTATTTTGATCTTTGGTATTCATACTGTTATTGTTTACAGACCTCCTAAAAGGAAACTTCTAACACAGGACAATTACAAAAGAATAAAGAAAAAACAAAAAACAGCAATTGATATAGAGAACACACATTTAAAAGCGGACGAGGAACTAGCATTACAACTTTTACAAAATTAAACCAAATTTGTATATTTTTGAGAAATTTGTTGAAGAAGTCTTTAATCTTTTTTCTTATACTGATACAACATTGTCAATACCATTATTGATTTTTATCTACATTACTAGTTGATTATGTAAACAAATTGATTGAAATTGATTAAAGAATTTATCAACGCAAATGAATTTATCTTTATTAAATATCTTCAATGATTTTAATTTCGTACTTCATTACTAATTCAGATTTAATGAGATGTAGTTAAGAAAATCGTTTACACGTTAAATATATCCTATGAAGATAATTACAAAATTTGAACAAGTGTATATGTTTATACTAATACTTACAATGAATATTTTACAAAGTTTATATCTTAATAATTCATTATATAATAATGTCATATTAGATAAAATATTAATGTAAAACACAATTCAGATTTGTCACTTTACTTAAAACTTATTGTGTAAAACTTTGTGCCACTTAAATGACTTTAGATTAATGAGTATAATGACTGTTGTCCATCACAATGACAATGTAATACTTTAACAAACAATGGAATATTCTTGCTAAAAAAGCAAAATTCAATAATATATAGGTATTTTTTCTACAAATATTAGTATCCAACAAAACATTTCTTATCAGTCTTAATTGGATGCTATTTTAATATGCTTCATAATAGCATCTACAACCTCCCTGCTTGTAGCTTGTCCACCAAGATCACGAGTATGTATACCTTGATTAATAGTTTTATTAATTGCATTCTGAATTAAAGTAGCATGATTCTTATGTCCAAGATGACGCAACATATCAACAGCAGCATTTAACATTGCGATAGGATTTGCAATATTTTTTCCAGCAATGCTAGTACCAGTATTACGAGTACCTGGTTCAAATATAGTGTAGTGATCACCGAAGTTCTTACCAGCTAATAATCCAGCCCCACCTAATAAACCGCAAACTACATTTGAAACAATTGCCCCATATAGATTAGTTGTTAAAACAATATCGAACTGATGTGGATTGGAAACCAATTGCATACAAGTATTATCAATAATCATATCATTGTGGGTAATATCTGGATAATCTTTCGCAACTTTTTTTGATATTTCTAAAAATAGTCCATCGGAGAGTTTCATTATATTTGCTTTATGAACCGTAGTGATCTTTTTCCTTCCATTTCGTTTAGCATATTCAAATGCATATCTTGCAAGACGTTCTGAATTCGAACTTGTAATAACCTTCATACTTTCGACAACACCTTTTACACTTTCATGCTCTAACATGGCATATTCTCCTTCTGTATTTTGTCTGACAATGACGATATCAATGTTTTTATGGCGTGAATTTACTCCTGGATAAGATACACAATGTAAAACATTGACATAAAGATCCAACTCATTTCGAAGAGCTACATTTCGAGAAAGTACTCCAGCTTCTGTACTACGAGTTTCAATATTTCCTTTCAATGCTACACCATTTCTACGAATTGATGTAATAGCATAATCTAAATCAACATTGTCATCCGCATTAGGATCAATATCTACATCTTCAAAATCTACTGGTACACCAGCATAACTGAAAACCTGTAATAAGCACATAAAAAAATTATGTAAGACTTTCATATAGATTATGGAAACTGTATTCCTGCCTCATTAAAATATATTACTACCATTTAAAAAAAACTATTCACAGTGATATTTTGAAAAAAATGTAATTAATAATACGATATACAGAGGTCATTCTGTGAGCTGAAAATATGAACACAGTGTTTATACATACCTCTTTTACATAGGTCATTAACTCTGGACCAATACCAGCACCAGGGAGAAGAGTTACCGTATGTCGTCCACCGTAATGTGCCTTTGGTATAGGCATTACTTTCTTAATAGTTGGAGTTTTGTGCTGTATTTCGAATGCAGATAAAGAAGCACATCGGTAAACTTGAGACATAACATTTTTCGGACGTAAATATTTAACAACAGATCGAGCAGCCATTATGAATATTATTCTACAAATAATATACAAATTATAATTAAACTTTAGTTTTAACACATTAAATAACATAAGCACATCAATTGATTTTTAAATACATACTACTACTTTGCAAATTCTATTTTAACGATACCTTGAAAGTCCTTGCCAACTCTGAATTTTCAGCGCCGTTTGAACTACTGTCTTTGAGAACGGCAAATTAACGTTCAAGTTTTAAACAATAGCGCCATCTGTTAGAATATTAATATAAGAAAATTACAAATCAAATATTTACATATTTCAATGTTTTTTTCTGTAATTTAAAAAAGTATTGATTATCATACAAATTTTCAGAAGAACTGAAGTTAACTTGTATTATTATACAATTTTAACAATATTGAACATTGAATAAAAACTTTTCTTTTTCAAATTGGTTTCTATTTTGATAATATTTATTCATTTTAAATTAATATGTGTACAATGCAAAGTTTAATGTTTAAGTTTTTAGATGTTACTGAATAAAAGATGATTTTTTATTTCTAAGGTAAATAAAGAAATAACATTTGTTTTTTTTAACGGATAGGTGAATATTCAAGCAGTGACAAAAATATTATTAATCAGAATTTTATAATCAACATTAATTAAATAATATATACATCCTAATAGAAATTTATCTACTTCATGAAAATACAATATTGAATTAAATTTCGCGCTATACCCAAGTAAATATAAGTATCCTTTATGTGGTATTTTGAATATATTAATTAAGTATTTTCTATTATTATTTTAAAACCTATTTAACATTTACTTCACGCAATAGGTTCTTTTTACGCTTAAAAAATAAGTAAACATATTGTAAAAAATTGTTTTATTATTGACTGATGTAAACAAATAAACGTTACAAATTTAAGAAATTTAACGTATTAATACTTCAAAATGATTGGATATTTCATTATAATAAGAAACATTGCCATGGTGTTATATTTTCATCGTATATTAAAATCATGGTTTTTTAATAACAAATAATTGTTGTAATTATGATAATATATGTATATAATAATTTTGATATGCCTCTAAGATAAATAATATTCAATTGTAAAATATAGAAAATTTGTTTTGTGAAATTTCTGAATTGTTGGTCAACCTGCTATTTTTCGCGGCAACACGGTAACAAGACGCTAAAGCAAAAGAAAGCCCGCCGTATCCTTCGTACGTTTGCAGTCGTCTGGAGTTTCATTGTTCATAAAGTACGTATCGTAATTACAATATAACTGCAGTAAGACGTTAACAAAAGTAGTTCCAAAAAAGATCCATATACATTAATGTTACTGTTCATCGAATTTATTTGTAAGTTTAATGAATAGTGTACAACTGCTTCCCGGCTGCCATGTCGCCATTTTGCACTGTGTTCATTTCAGTTCATTTTGCGTCTTTGAAACTTTATTTGCGTAGAGTTATTGGAACATATTTTTATTGCGAGTTCTAATAATTTTAACTTATACACGAAATTTTTATAAGTATATACTTAAATCAATTATTTTCATCAACAGTAAATTCTTCCTACATTCACTTAATTTTTTTAAATTTATAAACGATCCTGATATTTATTATTAAATTACAATATTCTTTTTAGTATTGCTTTAAGTAAAATGAGCAAGAACAAGGAATCATCTACTACAGAGACTGAGGGAGGAGAAGAATTCAGCGTTGAAAAAGTTTTGGATAGAAGAGTGGTAAAAGGAAAGGTGAATTAATCTATATGTTATTGTTTATTTTTCTTATAATGTATGATTAATGACGATATAATTTTTCTAACATGTACTCATTAATATATTAAATTCAGGTTGAATATTTCTTAAAATGGAAAGGGTATTCCAATGAAGAAAATACATGGGAACCAGAAGAAAATTTGGATTGTCCAGATTTAATTGCACAATTCGAAGAACAGCGTAAAAAGAAAGAAGCTGCAGCAGCTGGTAAGCGACATGACGATAAAGAACAAAAAAAACGAAAGAGCACACCTATACCTACGAACACTAAAAAGAGATTAACAGAAGAAAAAAAACCTGAAGGTAACTGCCACTCAAATTAATTTGTTCCAAAATTATATAGAATTAATGTATTTAATTCCTTGGAAGTAATATATTCTATTTTATTTAGGCTTTGACAGAAATTTAGAACCAGAAAGAATTATCGGTGCAACAGATTCAAGTGGAGAACTTATGTTTTTAATGAAATGGAAGGGAACGGATGATGCAGACTTAGTCCCTGCTAGAATTGCTAATGAAAAGTGTCCACAAATTGTAATAAAGTTTTATGAAGAGCGACTAACATGGCACAGTCCTACTCATGACGAAGAAAGTTCAACAAAAGCTGATCCAGAGTAGCGTCCAGCCTTCCGGTACACATACACAGCACGCTTTAGAATATGCCACATATAATAAAACAACTAGCGTGTACAAAATGAAAGTTCAAAAGTTTATTGCACAGTAACAATCTGGACTTCAATGTTTTTTACAATTAAAAAATAGACAAGTTTTGTCACATACCTGTGTCGCTGTTAGTAAAAAAAAATAGTTATTCTTACAATGTACTTTCTTTCAATTGTGCACTTGCAACTTCTTTAGCAACTGTTAATATTGTATATCATTGAATTAAATATGTTTTTAATAATTCTAATAACTGTCAATTGTAAAAAAAGAACTGAACTTCAATTTTGACTTAGATTCTAATACAACAGTTTTCTCTTCAGTTAATGACGGTTAATTCTTAATTTGTATACGTTTAATGGCAAAGCATTTAATCTATACTAATTCTTTCAGTTGCCAAAGAAATTGAAAACTTTGATTTTATTTAAATACAACATGACAATGTACAATACGTACAGGTATTTGAATGGAAATAGTTAATATTCCTTGAAAATTTAAAAGTCTTCAGTGATAAATGTAATTGTATAAGTATCAGCTTTTATGTAAGAAAAAATTGGTGTAATGACAACAGAATACAATAAGGTTGAAATAAAATTTTCATTTTATAAATTAGGTTCATGTGTCATAAAGAACTTAACAGTGTTAAAATTAAGGACAAAAGTATTTTTTTTTCTTTTTTAATGATACATCATTGATATAATAGTTTAATATGTACTATTCATGTTTTAACTACATTAGAATGATGCAAACAAATTTTTTAGTATGTAAGTAATCATAGATACATACGTATGTGATTTATTATCTTGTGTGAAATTTCAATTAAATTGTCGTTTTTTATGAAATATAAAATATGTTAATTTCTTACACATCTACATTGCATTAACGAAAAAATGAAGAATTTAGAAACCATATTTTATTTTATATTTAATGTTTGATTTTTTTAATATTTTTCTTAAAAGTTGTAGAACTTTTTCGTTTTGTTTTGTTGAATGAACTTTTAAGTTTTTGATGCCTCTTTATTTCCCAATCTATTTGCTTAGTACTTGCACCATCTGCGGTATTGAGCATATCTGTACCACCATATTTACCTCTTTGCTTACTGTGTTCTTCCAACATTTCTGCAAACTTCTCTGCTGACATAAATATATTACTATCTGTTCCTTTTTTATTCTGTTTTGTTTGTCCATAATTTTTCTTTGTTTGTTTATTTGTTATACTTGACTGAACGTCATCATCAAAGTCTATATCACTTGCATCATAATCTTCATCTAGATCCATATCACTTAAATCATGTAATTCATTATCTGTATCTTCACTATCATTTAAATCCAGATCCGAATCATTCTTGTCATCAAAGTCACCACTTGTTCCACCTTTAAAGCAATTATCCTCGAAATCTTCATCTTCATCTCCATTATACACTTTATTTGCATCTCCATCTTCTTCGGTATCTGTAAAAAATATTTAAAATGTTATAAATGTAAGTTAAAGTAATAATAATTTTCTACATGAACAACATTATATCACAAACCTTCCTTTTTCTTTTTTTTCCTAGTCTGAATGTCAGCTGCAATATCTAAATCTTCGAAATCTTTACCATCTGTTAACCTTCCTAACATGTCGTCAAATTCTTCACTATTAATACTTTCTATATCATCATCGTCTTCTTTTTTAAATTCGCGTTTAAATTCTTTTCTCTTTTTTAAATATCGGTATAAAAACAATTCATCAACTGGTATGCGTTCTTCTTTTTCATTAAGGTACATAACACTATCCACTGGTATGGATCTGATACCTCTTGGTGTATATCCTGCACGTTGAGCCAAAGGATCATTTTTCTTCTGTACCTTTCTATCTTCCAATTTCTTTGGATTTTTAAAAACGTAACGATCCAGAAAACGCATTAAAGATAAATCTTCTAATGGATCCCCTGTGTAATCGATGAATTTACCTGGGTACAAAGATAACATTTTACATTAAAGCATATTTAATATCAAGACAGATATTTATAAAAGTAATATGTAAAAATAAGATACCTTCAATAATAGTGCTTGCAAATAGTGAGACACTCGGATGATAATGTTTAGATAACGTTATTAGCTCAGTATTTAAACCTTCGGTTACTCCTGCATAAAGGGGATTACGGTAAAAAGGATCATAATCTTTTTGTTTACTTAACTCAATTTTTGTGTCATTTTCTACTTTTAAGTCAGGTTTGGTTTCCTCATTCATACCAAGTCCCATTGTAATGTTTGTTAATAAAATAGAATCTTCAGAGCTTGTGTTAGGTTTGTCGAATGTATTAATATCTTTAAATGAAGTATCTTCAATTTCAACATCTTCATGTTTAGCTTTAATATAAGTCTGGGATTTCAGTAATAAGGTTCTCAATTCTTTATGCGAGTGTATAATTTTAGATATTATATATAGAATTGCACATGTCATATTTGCAGGAAAATATAATGCAATTTGTAAACTTCTTCTAATTAATGCGTATAGACGTGGTATTTTATTATCTTTTTGGAGAACTCTATATAGTAAATTAAGGAACAATGCACGTTTATTTACAACTCCAATTTGTGGGTCCAGTAGCTTCCTATAAAATGTAGAATAAAATCTATTTGCCTGAGCCTCATCTTTTCCTGTAACCTATATATGAAACATGCAAATTAGATTTAAAAATGATTTGAAACAAATGTACTACAATGGATAAACACATACCTGATATAATAAATTAAGTGCATTTAATGAAACATTGAAAGATCCAATATGTACAACTTTGTACACAGAATCTATATGGTTATGCAGAATATTTGAATCCATTTTTGCAAATGGATAAGCTCTATTTACACCAGTTAATATTGCTGCCATCATTCTACTATCTGGTTCTCCTTTTTTTAAACAAGCTTTGAAGAATGCAAAATAAACTTCAATAAGGGTAGACGCAATTTGTTCATCATCTTTACTTAAAATAAATTGAGTTAACAAACAAATCGCATAATATTGAGCACGTTGCATCACATTTTTTCTAAACAGTAATTTTTCCACTTCTCGTAATACAACGAGTTTCATATTTGGATGTTCATGTAATAACTTATTTAAACAAAATATAACTTTAGATCCTACTTTATTACTTGGATCTCCTATTTTATTTATAATTAATTCAAGAAGTTTATGTTCTTGTTCTGAATTTCCAATCAACAAATCTGTCATCACTGATATAGCTGCTTCACGGTTGGCATCCACTGTATCAGAGGCGATAGCTGCTAAAGACATAATAAAACGTTCATATTGTTCATGTAATTGATCCTCGAAATACCAATGTACCATTAACTTTCTTCTTGATGCATTTGTCTTAACTATTGCCTCTTTAGTATTGTTTTGATCAATTTCATGTAAATTCTGTTCTTCAAATTTGAGTAATTTGAATTCCGGATGAAGTAAGTCAGATAAAAATAGATCCCTTAAGGATTTGATTACCATAATGCATTGATTATGTTTTATTGTTCGTACTTGATTTATAAGCATTGTAAGCCTAGTTAAATTACATTTTGGATTGTCTTGTATTAAGATAACAGCAGCTGCAACTTTATCCGAAGTTGTACCTTGTGTTAACGCTGTCTTTAACCATGCTGCTTCTGAATCACGAGATTTCGATTCTTTTAGTTGATAAGCAGAAGTTTCTGCGTCAAAGTACCGTTTAGCTTCATCTTTTAAATTTGATACTTCTGTTTCTGATTTAGAATGTTTACTTGGTTCTTCCTGTTTCGGATATTCTTCGTACCATTTTGGATTACCACCGCTGGTGGCTTCATCTTCGATTTCTTTCATTTTCTTAAAAATTGTAACATTCATATAAAAATGTATTCAGAAAATATTGTAAGAAACATACTATCTCTTATTAAAATTTAGAAACTCTTACCTCGTGGTTAACCTTAACAACATCGATATATTTAAAATTTTACTTTCTTAAAATAACATAAAGTAAAATTTAAAATAAACAATTCCTTTGGCAGTGCAAATATGTAATATACTTTCAAAATTTTTATTTAAAGTCAATAACTTTTGTTTAATTAATGATATATAATAGTATTAAGTAAATTACAAAAAAAACCATTCAAACAGATGTCGCATAAATAGCAAACGCCTGCCCTCTGTCGAATAATTTAAAAGTCTTAAAGAAATATTTTATCACAGATAAAAAGGTCTTAAATCACAGAGTTAAATTTCGTAGTCTGTGCTTAAATTAAAATCAGTATATACACAAAAAGGATATTTCATTTGTAATGTTACTAACATTAAAAAGTGACTCTATTTTTATTTTTATTCTGTCAAAAAATTGCAACAATAAATTTACTTTAACTTTCTTATTCACTGTAATAAGCGCTGTGATCTATTTCAATATTCTACGAAAATACATTGGATGTGAAGTCTATTCTTATATTTCGTTTGTGGTAATATTTACAACTGATTGCAAATAATCTATAACAGCGTAAAATGACATAATGCACGTATGGAATACATATGATAGTAAATAAATTTATTAAAGGAATTTATTACATTTTTAATTATACACTTTTAAAACGGTTTCAATACAATTATTATAATTAAGTAGACAATTTTATTATGTTTTAATTATGTTTTATTTTTATCGTTATTATTATTATGTTTCATAATAGAATGTATTATGTTAATAAAGATAAAATAATTTAACACAATATGAACATTGATAATACTAGTAACAATACTAATGACAATAGTAGGCCAGTAACACCATTAGAAGAAGATTGTTGTCATAATGGATGTAACCCTTGCATTTTCGATGTACATGCAAAATTATTGGAAGAGTGGAAAAAGAAGAAGAAAGGAAATATGAAGACTCAAATTAGAACAAATTTATTATGTCCATTTTCATATAAAAATTTTATAATTACTGATATAAAAGAAGCTGCAGAAAATTATATTTTACTTTCTGTGAAATATCAAGGTAGATTTCTTATATTACATTTTTATTTATTTAGATATACTTTTAATAAAGTTTAACATTATTTACAGAAAATGAAATAAAAAACAATGTAAAATTATTAATTAAACCAGGACATCATGTAATGTTACACTTACAAGAAGCAACTAGATCATTTACTCCAATCCATTTTACAGACGATAATATTCAATTTTTGATTAGGCTTTATGATAATGGAAAATTTAGTACATGTATAAGACATGCAAAAATAGGTGATGAAATTCGTATCAGAGGACCATATGGAAACTTCAAATATAAATGTAACAGGTTTGAAAATAGTGCTTTGTAAATATTTTTATTTCTACATTTTTATAAATATAAAGATTTAAGACTAATGTAGTAAAAAATATTTACATGCCATTAAAAAATAACATATAGTTATTTAAATGTTGTGATAATATTTTTTAGTTTTCAGAATATAATTATGTTTTGTATGGGATCTGGAATAACTGCAATGTATCCTGTAGCAAAATCAATTATAGACAATGAACTTGAAGAGACAAGGATTCATTTCATTGGGTGTTTTCAAAAGATGTCACAAGTTCCTTTGAAAAAAGAATTGCAAATTTTCTCTGATTATTGGAATTTCAAATGTACACTGTATATATCACAATTGCAAAGTATGTTACATGATGTAAATATTATTTAAGTTATCATCTAATTACTAATTAAATACAATTGCCAAAATTGTAACTATATTTTTTTAGTATAAATCTTTAGTTTCCAATTAATGATACTAAAAGTACGTTCCTACTTAAGTGATAAAAAATATCTATCATGTATGTTTCAGATGAAATTCATAATCTTCATGGTATAAATATAAAATGTGGTCATTTAAATGAAGCGTCAGTCCACCAAATTCTTAGAGACAATACAAGCGATACAACATTGGTTTTAATATGTGGTTCTCAAGAATTTGACAACTCTATTAAACAATGGACAAATGAAATGGATTACAAATGTATACATGTGTTTGAATAAATAAGCTGTCAAATAAAAAGTTATTTAATGTAACATGATATATTTTCCTCACAGTGTGGACAGGTACCATGAATATGACCAAATACACTATGATTACCAGGAACAGCTTGTAGCCACTGAAATATAAATGTTTATAAACATTATATTTATATTATTGTTTATAAATTACAACACAATCATCTCTTGATTTATATGGCTTTGTCTTTTTTTTCTACAGTAAATATTTCCTTTTGCATTTTCTTTTTGTACTTAATCAAAAAAATATAATTTTTTGTCTTGAAATTACAATACATCAATGCCAAACAATTTAAGTGCCAGTATTCCGAAAATTTAAGTTCGTTTTCCTGAACTTGTATTATTATTATAATTTTTGTGCAAATATGTATATTGAATGCCTTTGTAAAATATGCGAGTCTTTCCCATATGTGTTTTTTATTGTATTTAATAAGGTTTTATTAGAAAATTTTGAAGCAACTAAGAAGAAACCATATGAAATGAATATACCACATAAATGAAGGGACAAGTGTATTTCGTAGTGCAACTACTTAATGTTCAACATACTTGTAATAAACAAGGTGTATGAAAATGTCTTCTACATTTTTCATTATTGCAAATTTTATCAGGTAAAATTTCATTATCTAATACCATAGAATAACAAATACAACATTCCTTATCAGTGACAATAGCATTTTCATCTTTTATATATTCTTGTTTCACTTCTTTAGGAAATATATCTATATTTAATAACATCATTAAGTTCTCTACAATATTATAATTTGGATTCCAATTCTGAAAAGTATCAGAGTATATAACATTACCATATTATAAAATAAAATTATTATGTTATATTCTAAATTTGATATACATTTACATACATGAACATTTTTAGACATTAAATCCCTTTGTAATTCAACTTCTGTCTCACTACCCATAAATTTAATTTCAGGTAAATCCCTAGAATATAGAGGATCTATTTTTATAAACATAGATAGTGCTTGTGTTAAAAAAATTCGCCGATAAAGATGGCAAGGTTTTGGTTGTAATGGATCTAGTACCCAACAGTGCCTGTACATTACAAAATAACATTTTTATTTTGTTTCAAAACTTGTACATGAATATTTATATAGTTTAAATAGGTCTCATACGAGTAAGATTAACTCACTTATCAATTTGTTGTAGATTTAACCAAGTTGCTTCAAGCATTTCCACTTGTAATTTGAATTTATTTCGTGCTATCATCAATGTCGATAAATTCTTTTTAAAAGGTCCAAAGCTAGGAATTTCTGGCAAGTCGGAATAAATGACATCCCATGGACTTGCTGTGCACTTTGTTCTTTGTAATTTTATACACACATTGTTCAAAGATAATTTGATGATATTTAAATATGTGTCAGATAACAATTGAACTTTCTTTAAGAAAATAAATTTATACAATATTACAATTATAATATTATTACATTATTATTTTTTTTATTATTATTATTTGTACAAGCTGTTACATATTAAAGATTTTAATATTAAAAATTTACATACGTACAGATGGTATTTCAAGAACTTCTTTTAATTCTTGCAATATATCCTGTGCATTGTTATCTAATACTTCATACGTGTTCTCTTCAATGTAAGCAGCATCAATAAAATTGCTCTGCTCAAATTATTATTATTGTCAATTGACATAAAATGAAGTATAAAATTAATAAAATTAAGTAACAAATTACTATTAACTCCTTAACATTTTAAACTACTAAAGCATGTGTATATTTAACTATTTAATTGAAAGAAAATAATAAGATGATAAGAAATAAGAAATATTTGTTGCCCTTATCACTTAACTTTTTATAAAGCATATAAAAGGTCTACTTATATAACATTTGTTTCTATATATTATAATTATAAAAATCAACTAAGAAGTATAAAATGTTATTTAAGGAGTTAATAAAATGTACATAGAGTACTCTACTATACATATAAAATGAACATATAAATATATATATTTATATACACTATTTTTAAGAAAATATATTGAAAAGTATAAAAATTAAAAAACGTACAAAAAACGAAAGTTATAAAACATCAAAGGCGGATGGGGGGGGAGAAATGAAACATTGTCAAATTACTATTTCTACATTCGTCTTTTATGCAAGCTGTTTTTGAAATATTATTTATTATCGAATCGGCCCATTCTAAGATTATAAAAAAATGATTTTAAAAATAATTTCACCTTTATACATATATATTGCAAAATTCGTATGTCGATAGTATGTCAATTATAAAACCTGACATATTATTATTATTGATAATACATAGACAAGAAACATGTTTAAAATATTTCCATGTCAATTCGTAACAAATGGTTCTTCTTTAGAAATTAAAAATTGATTTTTTATAGAGTTTCTCAAGATTATCAGAAATCAAATGTAATATTATTAATTCGTTCCTCTTTATATCCTATAGCTTTCGGAAGAAACGTTTGTCTGCATTTTTTATACTTTTCAATACATTTTAATGAAAAAAATAAAATAAGATATTTTATTATATTTTCTATCACTTACTATAAGGGACTGCAAATGTCTTAAGAAAAACGAAATTTTTGTTTCATTTAACATTAAATTCCTCACTTGTTCACTGAAATGGATATCACGTATAAGTGTAATTTCTTTACCAAAAGTAATGTTTGCATTTTGTAAGGATGGATAATTTGGTACTATCAGCTTTAATTTAATTCGAATATTACGACCAAAATTAGATCGACAAAAAACTGTCAAAAATCCTTGCCAAGTGATTGGAGCCTCACAAACCAATATCATTTCAGGGTGCCATTGGATAATAGATTCAAAATCGTCAGGAACCATCGCGTTCAATTAATTAAACTTTTATTATCATTAAATACGTAGTAATTAACTACACTAATTACAAAATGCAAATATGACTCAACTCATACTTTATCATACAGATAAATCTACTTGTTCTTTTACTTGATAGATAGCTCTCATAGCGTTTCAATGTAAATAAATATTTTTGCATATGTAGATCACCGACGAAATATAGAATAGATTGCCATGCAATGTAAATTTTTGCCCCATTGTCAGGTGGTTATGTGACCCCCTTACCATTCCAGTGTCACGTACAATGTTACCAACAAAGTACAAGTAAATATAAATAAATAATTAAAAACCATGTTCATTTTTATTCTTTTATATCAATATTACATTTTTTTTATATACTTATAATTTCTTATAAGATAAATAAGGTAAACACTGTACAACATTGTCGAACATTGTCTAACACAATCCAATAATGTCCAATAAATCCCAGGAATCTCCAGAAACGTGCGACAATTTCGATGATTGTCTGGATGACGAGAAAAAAGAGAGAAAACTTTAAAACTTTTACCTCTAACATTCCCCATTTTTTGTTCCTTATTGGCGATTTTCGACGAACTTCAATTCTGCTCGTTAACGATCCCCACTATTATTACTTTCAGGTATTTAAAAGTTGTAACAATGTAATGAGTTTTATGGCGCTTTACCTGAAGCAACTTTCTTTTGTTGTCAAGATTAACAATGCTCAGGTACTGCCTAATATAAAACAAAAAATATTCCTTTTTCAAGGGATGTTGTAAAATACTGATTTATTTTTATATAAAAATTTTTCTTAAATATAATTAACGAAATAATAGAGGTGGAGCAACTTTTGAAAGACGAATATGCTACAATGAATTTTTACATTAAACACATTTTAGTTTATAGCATATAAAATATTTTGTAGGAAACAAAAATCAAGTTATAAAGTAATATTTATGGTAAACCTGTTTCGGAGAATTTTGTCATTACATTTCCATTTGGTTACAAGAATTGCCTTTTCCTACAGGTATTAAATACTTTGCCATATAGTATGTAGAAAGGTTTAATATTGAAGCAAAAAAAAAATATACTTTTTTAAATTTATTTACTTAGTATTATTTATGTTTTTGATCCTTAATTAGTGAATTATTATCTATCAAAATTTTTAAGCTTCTCAAATTGTATTGTATGAAAGGTAATATTTACAATGGCATTGTGATATTGTTTCCTCAGAAACATTGTTCATTCAAACCTTAATAGAATCAGGTTTGAACTTTGTATGTTCAGTAAGTACATTTTTTATATTTACTAATAATATTTGCATTGTATTAAATCGAAACTGTAAAAATGCAATCTTTCAATGAAAAAAATTTGAGTCTGTACATGTAATCAACTGTTTAATAGTGCATGCATGTGTATTTTTTGTACCAAAATAAACTTAATAAATAAACTTTGCGTTTATTGATTTTGCTAATTTCAATCATCGATCCATCGATTCAATCATCAATTATCGAATCATGAGATCTGGCACATACATTACACGAGCATGTATCTGTATATAATTGAAACTCGGAAAAAGAATTCTTTACATTTGCTGCTTTTATCAATTTCAATCGTTGATTCGAATAGAATTCATATACTTACCGCCTTAAGTCGTAGAGAACCTGTCTGTTTTTACACGATCGGTATTTCAGACCTTCAGGCACGAAGTCCCATAAGATGTCCAATCTATCCTATATTTCGTTGATGGTTAGATCTTAGTATTGAAAGCTGCTATCAATTGATAAACGCGAAAATATGGGAACTTAGTACCTAAGGAAATCAACAAATTTAAAGTTGAAATATCTCCTAAACTAAAAATTTTCCAACATAATAGGTTAATGTTTTTTGTACAGAATATAGAGCGACATCGACTATTACATAAAACAGTGATGTCAAACTTACTCCCCTAACACTAGTAGTTAGTATATAGTGTTCAAACAAACAGATAAAAGTATATACTTAAATACCTTAGGTACAGAGAGAGAGTAACTTTTCATGAGGGGAATGTCACTAGAGTGCTCCTAGATAGTCACTCTTGCTTTATATATATTTTAAATAATAAATAGCTATATTCACATAACTTTCCAAATTTCTTATTTAACTTGATTTTGTTCTACATTAATTACACTCAATCACTTATTCTTTAAGTACAATTACTATTTGTTATATTGTTTTAATTATTTTTATACAGCTTTAATGAATTATAATTAAAAGGTAATTATATATAAATTTGTATACAACTTAAAATAAAATCTACTATTAATTTACAATTTTTGTGTAGCAGAAAATAAAATTAAATAATAAAAAGTAATCAAATTTAATTTTGCATTGATGAATTTATTTGTTGTAAAAACAATTTTGTTTTAACTTTTTCTAATAAGGTTTAATCGAGGCATTGAAATTTAAACAACCTTGGGCGGAAATCTGCATTTGTTACAGATAAAATGCTTGTATATGAAGTTGAGTTTATGTGTACACGTCGTTATCGTATGTCATTTCCGATAGTAAACATTCCATTGAATTTAGCGTTGCATTTCTTATTGTTCTTTTAAGGGCAGTGAAAAAGCGACAATGCCGTACCATGCCATGTATAAAGTAAGTAATATTTAAATGTTTTTAAATACTTTCAACATAACATAATATTATAGACGTAATTTCTTTGTTATAGGTTATGAGTCATACTTTATTCTTTTATCAAATTTAACATTTGGTCTTTGTGCTATAGTCAATCTTCTGTTACTAATGTGAAACCTTGGATTTGATACAATCATCATAAAGAGAACGTGTAAGAGACATGTTACAGACGTGACATTAAAATCAAAAAGAGATATAAAGAAATATATATATATAATATATATATTTATATACATATATACATACATATACGTGTGTGAATATTACATTTTTACTATATACATAATAAAATATTCATAATTTATTATAATGGAACAGAATTCGTATAAAGTATATAAGTAAATTTACAAGTTATAAATAAAGATTTTATTTAGTCAAAAATGTATTTGTTATAAGGTTTGCATATCGTGATTAGTAAATGATACTGTACATAAAAGAGAATCAAAGTTGTTACTTCATTTACATGATTACAATAATAATTTACATGAATTATAATAATTTTTAATAAGAAAGTGTACAGTATTGTCTTCATTTTTATCAAAGTATTAATGCAAAGCTCAAAATATTTTCCATGTCATTTTAAATGTTATGTAGATGCAAACTGATATATCAACTTGCAAACAAATTAAACTTAAACTGAAAAGGTACAAAAAGATTTTTAAAACCTAAGTAACATAGGAAATTCTGAGGAAGCGGTATCATATAGAAAAAAGAAATATATTCTGTAATAAACATGAGTGGAATATTAAGAGACCAACCATGGGGTTACCGAGTGTTAGAATCCACAGTTTCTAAGTGCTGTCCTCATCATCGTGTCAATCGAATGGCATGGCATCAAGGTGGCATATTGGCTCTTACATATTTGGCATATACTTGTTACCATATGACACGAAAGCCCATATCTGTTGTGAAAAACGTATTAAGCCTTAATTGTAGCAGTTTGTCGCCACCTCCAAATTTTTTAATCAACAGTACAAATAAAGATACGTGGTGTGATTGGGCCCCATTTGGTAAGTGAAAATTCACTATTAAATGTAATAATTATATGAAAAATATCTATGTAATACTTTATTTATGTAATATTTCATTTTTAGATACAGAAGATGCTCCAGCATTACTTGGCATGTTAGATTCTGCATTTTTATTCGCGTATGCAGCATCCATGTTCTTCAGGTGACATTGAAGTGAGCTTACTTATGATAAAAAAAATAAATAGACTATTTTGATGATAACTTTGTATTTTTTTGTACAGCGGTTTTATAGCAGAAAGAGTTAATCTACGTTATTTTCTTACATTTGGTATGCTTGCATCGGGTATATCATGTTATCTTTTTGGTATTGCTAGGCCATACAATATACATAGTTTATGGTACTTCATTTTCGTTCAGGTACACATTATTGATTATGAAAAGTAAGTCAATGTGTATATAATAAAGAAAAATATTTTATTATTGATTTTCTATAGGCAATCGGTGGCGTCTTCCAAACTTCAGGTTGGCCAGGTGTAGTTACAGTTGTTGGAAATTGGTTTGGAAAAGGAAAACGGGGCTTAATTTTTGGAATATGGAACTCTCATACGTCATTAGGAAACATTTTGGGTAGCTTAATAGCTGCTGAGTTTGTAGAATCCGATTGGGGCTTAAGTTTCATGGTACCTGGAGCCACGATGGGCTTAGCAGGATTTATAATATTTCTGTTTCTTGTACCTAATCCTATAGATATAGGATGTGTTCCACCTGTTTCCCCTGGATATAGAAAATTCGACGCTACTCATAGTTCAGATGAGAGTAGTGATATAGATGATTGTGGAAATTGTAGTAATGATATTGAAGATGTAAGTGTAAAATGCTTTCTATTATTTAATGGAGTTCTTGTATGGTTTCCAGCATGCGGTGCCTTGATAGAAATATCTTATAACCATTATTTTGGTACTTTGTATCCAGCACTTGAATGTACAGTGAGTCAAAAATGTATTTCACATTTTAATTGTATCATGATCATTTTCTATAGAAGTATAGCTTATTGATACAAACCTACACTTTGTAGCACTTCATTATATGGTAATTGCATAGTAAGTGTTATTAATTTAACATTGAAAAGTAATCTATTATTTTCACATATAAATATATTTTAAAAAATCTGAGTATGGTAAATACTTTTTTAACTCATTGTAGATAAATTTTAAAGTCTCTTACGCATATGATATATAAAGTATATTCTACGTATCTCTTCTATAATTACGTTAATTGCTTTTCATTTTTTAATTCTGTTAGCTTTTTTAATTTCATATATAATTCTTTTGTATGCTATATAAACATTATGTATCAAGACACTTTCATAATTTTGTATTTATTATTTATATACATTTTTGCACATATCACAAGCTTACTAAAGATAACTCATTTGCTGTACTTAGCGTCTCATCTATCGCTGTGCCTACCGCGAACAGATCGGTGTTGATGTAAGTGCATGCTTTGTTTTTTATTTAATTAATATTGCACTTTATATAACTAAATTAACATAAAATATATTTTAGTTTTTGCACTATAATAAGTATTATTACTTATAATACATTCTTTTCTTAAAATAAATCTAAAATTATTGTGCAAGTTTCTTTTATTATTTACTGTTATAAATATTTACATACAAAATTTTATTGAAGGATGTTTTAGAGGATGTAGTAGGTGTAAGATCTGAAACTAGCCCAATATTATCAAGACACAGGCGTGTGCATAATCATCACAGAGGAGATGCAATTGGATTTTTAGGGGCTTTGAGTATTCCTGGAGTCATAGAATATTCTCTTTCTTTATTCTTTGCAAAGCTAGTAAGCTACACATTCCTATACTGGTTACCATTGTACATTGCGGCATCAAGTAAGTACCCATTGTACTATAATTCTACATGAGATGGATCATAAAAATATAAAGCTGATAGATTTGAAAAAATTGAAATACGAATTCTTTTTTGAATTCTTAAATGCTTTAAATAATATGTTTATACTTAGAATATTGATTATATAAAATGCTTTTGCACACTTTTCTCTCTTTCCAAATTTTCTTTAAGTATTCAATTTTTCCTTATATTATTACATTCAATAAATACTTTGATATTTTGTTTCTTGTCTCATATTGAAAAACATATATATTGTACTTTTAAATATTGTGTATATCAATATACACAATCAATATACATTAAAAATGCTTTATTTTTCTTTCAGCTACTTATAGCGCAACATTAAGTGCAGACATCTCAACTTTATTTGATGTTGGTGGTATTGCGGGTGCAATAGCAGCTGGTATTTTATCTGATTATAGCGGTATGAGTGCCGTAACATGTGCAGTTATGTTTGGATTTGCGGTTCCTGTAGTACGTATCATTTTATGTAGACAAAATCCAAAACATTAATAGGTTAACAATTCTGTCTACATGTAATTATTATTTATTGATATGCTTAATTTGTTATAGTTATTTATATATGACACCATTGGAAGCTCGGGTTTGGTCATGAATATAGTATTACTACTAGTAGCAGGACTACTAGTTAATGGACCTTATGCTTTAATAACAACTGCTGTATCAGCTGAATTAGGAACTCATCCCAGTCTGGGAGATAATTCTAAAGCTTTAGCTACAGTCACTGCTATTATCGATGGAACAGGCAGTATTGGTGCTGCTGTGGGCCCACTACTAGCAGGTTTGGTATCACGTTGGAGTGGTTGGCACAATGTATTTTACATGCTCATGTTTGCAGATATACTGGCATTATTGGTATGTGTTCTTAATAGTATATTCTTAAATAGAAACAAATATTTATAAATTTAATTTAATTTTTATTATTTCAGCTTTTATCGAGATTAGTTTACAAAGATCTACAAAAATATATCTATAGAAGAGCCGTTTAATTTTATTTCTTCGTGTTAGATAAAGAATAGAATGAATTTATGTATAAATAAATTATTTTAATCTGCATTTGAAAATTCAGTTTTTTTACAATTATTATGGGATGTATAAATTGTACGAATTTATACGCAAATTTAACACTTAAGTATTATTGAGTTTTAGAAGTATTTTATTCAAAAACAAAAATAAATACTATATTTTTTATATGATAGAGTATTATAATATAATTAAATACAAAATAAGAATGTAACACTCTGGCTTTTTAATTTATACATTAAAAATATAATAATTACTTATCGATAATTAAATAAATGAAATCGTATTACACAGTTATGGTATGCCTGTAGGAATTACGTAACTAATAGAATCTGCAAATTCACCCCATGCTGCTCTTTGTGTTTGAAATGTAATAATCCATGCTAAAAGAGCAGCTGACCATATAATTGCTCCTATTGCAGAGAATATCACATCTGAAATTTTTTTTTAACAAGATATATATTAAAAATTGCATTTACAGATACATAACAATAAATACATATAAATGTATTAAAGTGCATAATTTGCAACAATCAAATAATATTAATAACATTTTTGTTCAACGTACTTGATACAATACAGTAACAGAAATCTATATAATAATTTTAATTAATAACATTTTTTGAAAAAGTAAAATAATAATAGATAAATTTAAAACTTACATTTTTTAATTTGTTTTTGCTCTTCATAATGCGAAGCGATAAAAGCTTCCTTGGCAAACCAAATAGCATTCACAGCCCAAAGAAATGGCAGAAAGGCAAATCCAGCTATGAAAAAAGCAAAATATACATACCCTGTTTACATAAATAATCAGAATATTATAACTGAAAGTTACTCACCACGAAAATACCATTTGCAAAGATATAATTTCTTGTCATTCGAAATCTTCGATAAATCCATGTTAACAATAAAAATCTTGAATGTATAACCTATAACCTTGTTTTAAACACTTGAACATTCGTGCACAATATTATTCTATATATAACAAGCTACAGTTAGGTATAAATAAAGCAATTAATTAAGACATTAAAAAATACCCAATAATAATGTAACAAACTGTCAAACCAAAACCTAAGACTTTTCCGTTGGATTAAAAACATTACTCACGTTTTCCAGAAGATGGCGTAATAATATACTGAATAAGATGGTGGGATATATTTTAGTAGTTCTCATATAGAATGTACTGAACGAACAACTGATTTAAACATTATAAAAAAGTTAAGGGTATTCCAGCATTTGCTGCATATTTCAAGAAGTGATATAAAACATTTATATTTCATGTGGTACATAAAAACTAAATTTCTAATGAAGAAATTGTTAAATAAAGTATACGTGAAACTCTGAATGATCACCACTTCGCTGTTCGTAATGGTGGGAGCGATCACGTGACTGGTTACTTGCCGCCCCGCTTGTCGCACGAGTATTCGTGACCAGCCATTTTGATTAGTAACATGGCGTCAGCGGAGATTAATATGGCGTCCTCGGACATAATAACCGAAGTGGAGATTCAACCAGATATCCAAGAGGTTGAAATAGAAACAATACCGGTGGAAATACCTTGTGAGACTGTGGAAACAACTATCGAGGGAGAGGATGGGCAACCGATGATTGCTCTTCAACCACTTCCAGAGCCAGGACGCGAAGAAATCATTCTACAGACACAAGAGGAAATCGTCGGCAGTGATCCGCTAAGCGTATACGATCAGATCCCGGTTCCAGAGAACGATATTTATGTCGAGTCGAGTCCTGGTCCATCGAGAAAGGGTCCCAAGAAGGCCAGAAAAAGCGGCACGACGCGATTTAGAACAACCGACCATACGATTTTTGGGGAAATGGGCTCGGAAACGAAGGCTAGAAAGTGGGAGCAGAAGCAAGTGCAAATCAAGACCCTCGAAGGTGAATTTTCGGTGACGATGTGGGCCTCAGGTACCGATGACGGTAAGTCTTTGTCGTTTCTTTTCTAACCTTTTCCGCTAACTTAAAAATGAAACACATCGAGATAACACATCGTGAGGCTTTGCAATTGCTATCCTATCTCTATGCACACTGTTAGTACGCACTTCCGGTGGACTCGAATCAATACCGTGCTTTTCTTATGGGACCGTCACAGAAATCGACGAACTGTTCTTGGATTCTTTATTACCTACGATTTCATTGACAGTTTGCGTTGTTTGTTTTGATCGAGGGAACGCCATTATGCTGCCAGGGGGCAGCCATATTTTGAAAATGGCTTCTTTTACGTGGATCTATCTTCTCGAATGATAATGGCGGAGATGCACTTACAGTAGAACAAGCAGAGCTTCGCGCTCGCGTTATCTTTATTTTATCGAACGCGTTATGTTACTCGAACTTTTATCCTTATTCCTATATCTATGTTAACATTTGTATATTTCTATTACATGAAATCCTTAATTTCTTGTTTTATACAGGAAATTGCTTAGAAAAATTAAATTTATTCTTTCGTATATGAAAGTCGTGTCTCGACTTCTTACGTCACGCTATACACTCATAACTTTTGTACAAACATTTGCAGTATCTATATAAATTAATTTAAGTGTTAAAATAATTTGAATGTTCGCCGAAATAATGCAATTGTAAGATTTAAATATTAATGTACAAACAATATTGTAAAATTTCATAATGAGATTTTAGAAACATGTAACTTGGTTATTTTTATTGCTACGCTAATTACATAAATAAGAATGTATTCGGTGAATACATTTATATATCGTTGTAATATAATAAAAAAAATGTTTTAAAAATATTCTAACATTTAACTGTTTAAATTTTTATCAATACTTTATAATATTAAAATAAGTAATTACATATATTTTTAATTAATTTTATGTATGGAAATTGTTAGTTTATTACGAGCAATTTATATAGTAAATATTTTTTCTGTGTAGATTTTAAAAAATAAATTTAAAGGTAATAAGTAATGTGAGATAGTTTTCAAATTAAATAATATTATGTTATATATTACTTGGTTGTTTAAAAATTATACTAATAAAATAGAAATAAGAAAGTATATTAATTATGATATTATTAAGTTTGTATTTTTCCTGTTTTTATATTTAATATATTCTTTATCGTTTTTAATAATTTTTTTTAAACAAATATTCTCTTATTACACAATAAAAAAGTCTTTACAATCAAGTACAAGTAAAAAATATAAAATCTTTGTAACCAAAAATAAATACAGTAGCTTTTGTTTGGGACTGCTTGTTTGTTATTGTTAAAGGGAGTGTCCTATTAGCTCCTCACCTGGTGGATGTTCCAGATGAAGGCTCAAATCCAGAGCCTGATCCAGACTACACAGAATACATGACTGGTAAATCCAATGCCAAATTCAATCACTCCGGAAGCTCTATTTCTGATGGAATGCCAGGTCTTGACCTGTCGGATCCAAAACAGTTGGCTGAATTTGCTAGGCCTGGTCACAAATTGAAAGTACGTAAGCCACCTGTTTTAGATGGCGTTGAACGTACCATAGCCTGTCCACACAAAGGATGCACAAAAATGTTTAGAGACAACAGTGCGATGCGTAAACATTTACATACTCATGGACCAAGAGTACATGTATGTGCAGAATGTGGAAAAGCATTTGTTGAAAGTTCTAAGTTGAAAAGGCACCAACTGGTTCATACAGGAGAAAAACCTTTTCAATGTACATTCGAAGGATGCGGCAAAAGGTTTAGTCTTGACTTTAATCTTCGTACTCACGTTAGAATTCATACTGGAGACAGACCTTACGTTTGTCCATTTGATGGATGCAGCAAAAAGTTTGCACAGTCAACGAATTTAAAGTCACACATATTAACACATGCGAAAGCTAAGTAAGTATATATTTTATATTATAATTTTTAATTTTTATATTTCTCTTAGAATACCTAATAAACATGAAATATTTAACAAAATTAAATATTACTTTATAGGTCACGCAATGCTATCGGGAGACAAGTACAACAAATTCAACTTCAACAACCTCAATTTGTTCAAGTTGAAGTTGCAGATGTGGATAATCAACAGTTCATTGTTTATGCTGATTAGCCCCCCTAAACAATGATCTCATATCCTACTAAACTTACTATGAAATATCGTAATCATTAATTAGTAACCTAAACAGTGTAAATATTTTCATGATACAAGTGATGCGGACAGGACATTACTAAAAGCTGTTAGTTATCTTAAGAGATAAAATTAATTAATCAATTTATACCTCTGTGCTTG